CATATATAAGCTTTGCGTCGAGAGTGATGCTAAGAAAATACAGTGGATTCAACAGGGTTCAGTTCTTTCCCATTTAAAAACACATTGGTATTCAGATTTTTAACATTCGTTAGGGACCACGAAAATCCACGTCACGCGATATGTCGACACCGAGGATTCCGAGGGGAGTGGAGAAGGGAGTGGGAGGGGAGTGCCTTGAAACTAAGTAGATACGACAAAGGGGTTCTTTTTAGCGGTAAACACGCAAACTAAGACTAAACTACTTAAATATGATATAATAAGCTTAAGCGGTGTGTTCTTGACACCATAGTACTGTAGTTTTCTGATTAATGTCTCATAGTGAACACATTCGAAGGACTTGGAAAGGTGACAAAGCATCTTCTGAATTCTAGAATGTATAAAAAATGTGTTTCATAAGTTCGATTCCGGCGTCGGTAGTCGAGCGACCCATTGTAAAACCAAATTGATTTTTGTGAAGCAATTTATTTATATTAAAAAAAACTTTACATCTGATCTACAATAATTTTTTCAAAAATTTTACTTAATATTGGTAGTACAGACATTGGTCTAAAATTGGCGAGGTCTAATGTACTACTAGATTTAAATAAAGGTATGCTTTACTATGTATGATTAGATCAGGAAACACACTAGATTCAATGCGTGTATTAAAATTGTGGCTAGATAAGATGCTATTGTATCTGTTATAGATGCAATAAATTTCACGGAAATCCGCCATAAGTCTACCGTTTTCTTAAGATCAATAGTTTTAAAATATTTAACGATATCTTTTGGCAGTACTCTATGGAATTTAAAAGTATTTGAACAAGCCTTTCATTTTGTTTGAGCAATGATTCGGCGACAGTAGGAGAAGAATTTAATGATTTTGTTGTCAAAAAAGGAACATCATGTTTCTCAAAAGCCATGGCAAATTCTTGATCAGATTGAGTGAAATTAATGTTAATATTCAATCGAAAATTCGAGTTGCGTGGTTTGACCTTGCCCGTTTCACTATTAATTATACTCCACGACATTTTAATTTTATCGAATGCAGTTTTAATTTTTTTGCTTAAATGTAAAGCTCTAACTGCGCTGCATACTTTTTAAAAAAAAATTTAGAACTATAAAATACTCTCTAAATATAACACTATGATTATATGATCTTTCATTATAAAACTCGTATAACTTTCGTCTACTTTTATAAATTCCTACTGTCGCCCATTCATTAAATGATTTGCGACTGTTTATAGAGAAAATTTTAGATGTAAATATTAAATTAAATTCAGAAGTTATAATTTTAAATAATACACCATACAAATAATCAGTACTATTTTTATGCGTAAGTGATGGAAGTCCTTTTACTATGTTACGAACGAACGTCCAAACGATGTTTATTTATTGGAACAAATAAAACTTTCTCAATTTTCTGTTTTTGTAAGACAATGAGTGAACTACCTATTAATTGTCCACAGTGATCTGAATTTAAATGTTGAATGATTGATTTATGCAACGGCTTAACATCTGTAAAAAGGCCCAGCAATACGTGTCAGTTCTAAGAATAAATTAACAAGATTATACGATGTAAATAATGAGCTAAACTTAATATTAATGGAAGAAGTTTCAAGGAGATTGATGTTAAAATCTCCACATATTACAACAGACTTTTTGTGTTTACTAAGTTCGAGCAAAACGTCTTCCACAATCCTTTCAAAATAGTCATAAGTAGCACATAGGAGTCTGTCAACACTTACAACGAGAGGTGCTCGAGCTCGACATTTGTACAGTTCGCTCAACAGAGAGGCTCACAATAAAGTGTAGTGGCCGTAAACGCGGATGCTGCAACCCACTTGCTTGCTACGCCAAGGGTTGCCGATATATATATATATATATATATATATATATATATATATATATATATATATATATATATATACAGAGAGAGAGAGAGTCCCTAAAGGTGTAATAGTGAAGTGTAAATATTTTTTGTATAGAATAAGGGTGACAACCGAGCACACAGTCCACCTGATAGTAAGTGGATACTGTGGCCATAGACAACTTCATCCATGATGATGCATCTATATTTTGATTCTTAATCCTCGATTAATAATCAAAATACAGATGCATCATCATGGATCTAAGATCTAAGATGGAATCCCTCGTTTCTAGTAAAAAGGGTCACCAGTTCTCTACACTCTCCATACGAAACACAGAAGCATTTAACTGCTATTTCACGCTGGTGAGGACGTGGTCCTCGTGGACCCCGGTCGAGTCGACCCATTCGTGCTACAACCATAATATAGCTGTAGCGTGATTCTAAAACGTTTCAATTTGTCCAAAAACACACATTTTATGTGTGAAAAGCACTGACAAATTTGCAAAATAATTAAAACACAAATGAATAATTAAGTAACAGCCAGACGAATTATAAGTCCCTATTTAATTCAGTAACTTATTGCCCGCGGTTTCATTAGTGGTTAGACACGGGTGAGCATCGATTGGGAGTTTCACGAGGTACCTAAAATTAATTGTCGGTTAACAAGCCACACATTTTATTGCTAACTTTTAATTAACTTTTTAAACAGGTATCAAATATTACATAGAACATTTTAGAAACTAATGTTTTAGAACTGATGTTATTTGTGACATTTAGCTTTTAACGGTGAAGGCCCTAGGTAGTGGCGGTGTAAGAATATCCTCTGTGTCCAGTGAGTGTCGTAAGAGGCGGCAGGGAGACAAATCAGGAGATGGGCATCAGCGTCTTCCTAACAACAAATAAAAAAACTGCGGTAGACAACCGTTTGCCAAGCGTGGCAATTGTGGCAAATATCCCTCCTATGATGCAATTTGTGGGGGAAGCTTATTCAGCAGTGGACTTTAATAGGCTGTAATGGTAACGATAACTGTGAAGACTCTAGAAGAAAGAATAAGCTCATAAATAGTTTTTTGTAGTGCAGTGTTGATTGTGCTTGTGACAACGTAATCTAATAAATACGTACATCTTTTGATCATAAATATTTTTTTTGCATAAGTTTTTTTTTAAACTCTTTTAAGCCAGTGCTTGAGTACTATCCCACTTGATGGGAGTTATGGAGATCTAGATGGTTAGGCTCACTTACTGAACTCAACAAAAGCCTATCCAATCTTGCCTAGAAGACTCCTACATTTTATTTGGACGTAAAGACAGATGCTGGCAAGTTATTCCACCCACTACTTTGCGAAGCCAACCGTTTGGCTTGAATGCGTGATAATGGGTGTTGATTGGATGATGGGTTGAGGACCAGCTGAGCTGAGGTGATTTGTTAATGGGGCGAATTAAGTCAAGCAGTTCTATTTTTTCTCTTCAATATTTGTCTTTAAATGTATCTTGTCAATTACCGAAAGAGTGATTCGTGACGTTATCGAATTCGACTCGCATGCCGTGACGGCAAACGGCGTGGCGCTCTCTTATGTCGTCATGCCCCCTCTATACCGCTTTCGATTCCCTTGCGTATGCGAGTGTTAATTGTTGTGTTGTGTATTTACTATTTTTGAAGTGAAAATTTATTTAGCCGCGTTGAGTGATTTTTGGTAGGGGAAAAACTTATAGGTTCGCGTCACCCATGACCTCGACATGAACGTCGCGAGCAACGCGTAGTATAGCCGCCTGTGTACATTTGTACGCATATATCATTGAGTTTTCACTTCTGTCGGCTGTCCTTATGGCTGAAGTTTTTTTATACGATATTTTTAGTAAGACAGAACTAGAAAACAATTTTAACAATAATATTTTTGATTAATTTGTTGGACACTAATTTGACTAGTTGCTTTACAGACTGATTAATTTATGCATGATTAAATGTAGCAAGGTTGAATTGTAACTTCTAATACGTATTAGGTAATTGAATGGTAATTTCATTTTAGTATTCATTCCGGGATCAATGTTAAACGATTTAAATTTTTTCCGAATAAAACTAGAATACCAATAAGTCATTGTTTTAAGGCCCTTAAACATCTACGTTTATCCTCGATTAAGAATGAAAATGCAGATGCGTTGTCGCCCATTAGGACTAAGATGGAATGCCTTGTTTCCAGTAAAAAAGATCTGTGGTTCTCTACACTCAAAATACGAAAGTCAGCAGCATTAAGCTGCTATTTTACGCTGGTATTCTCTAAGAGCGTGGTTCTTACCCGACCGAGCCGACCCATTCATGCTACAATCATAACATAGTTGAATCTTTGTTCTACCACGCAAAGTCTTGTACTTATACGTTTTTGGTCATTTATTCGACCATGTAGTGGCGGTGTGACAATATCCACTACCTCATATCCTGTGGATGTCGTAAGAGGCAATAGAGGGTAACAAATCAGGAAATTAGTGTCTTCCTGATTACAATTTAAAAGAAAAAAAACTGTGGTTGCCAACCGAACTTCCTAGCATGGCAACTATGGTGAATGACTAAGCTATGAGGCAATCTATGGATGCCTACTGCCTATGTTCATCAGTGGACTTTTATGAGCGGTAATTAATGGATGAATGGAATATTTTATTGGATTTTGTTGTAACAGCATGTACATTGCCTCCTAAATGTATTTCTAATTCTGTCAATACAAGTCTAGTAACTGGCATTAATAACATATTTTAATTAAGTTTCTACTATTTTCCATTTCAAAATTGTTAGGACGGCAACAGAGTCAATGTGAGTCTCTGAGAGATGACTCTGATGATGATGCGTCATTTGCTATACTTAGTTCCTTAAGGAACTGTAGCTACGACTGGTCGTGGTCGCTGGGGACAAGAGCGCTGGTTCTTTTCTCGTTCAAAGGCTTGTATAACCATTTAGCAAAGAAACGAAGCCAAACGTAGGTCTAAATAATAATTTTAGTGTTTAGCATTTTATTTAAAAAAATATTTTTAATATAAATACCATGAACTTGCAAAACAAAAAGCGATTAAGACAAGCTATAAAAATACAATGAAAAATAAATTATTAAACTTTTTTGTGTTTTTTTGTAGCTATCACAAAATGGCACCCAAAACTGAACAGGAGAACAAATCTGCACAGGAGCAAATTCTGAGTAACGGGACAGCGAAAGAAGAAGTGGTAGTAACAGGCGTCGCCGGATACTTTCCGGATTCGGATTCCGTGAAACAGTTTCAAGAAAACCTCTTTAATAAGGTTCGTAAAACAAATGCACAGCATTTTGCATTTTGATAATTATAATATGTAGTTTTGCGCAGAAGTCGTGTGAGAATTTGAATTTGAAAAATTTGAAATAATTTAAAAATAACTGCGGTTACCAATCGGCCTGCAAAGTGTGGCAACTATGGCAAATATTTAATATGAAACAATCGATGGGAGATACCTACATTCTGTAGTTGACTTTTGTTGGGTTGTAATAGATTAAAATTGAATATAGTAACTATCTGCTTTAAAGTTATAATAATGTCCTCTAGACCGAATTTCGGTCGCGAAACAAAAAAGCCGAAACGACTGGAGAAAGATCACACGCAGGACCGACGGCTTTACGTGTTTTCCGGGGCACGGGGGTGAAACATCGGCAAGTTCCTAACTCCGGACTGCTATCGAGCATTTCTCTAATAATTGATTTTCACTCGAACCCGGGACCTCATGATCGGAAATGGCGATGACCACTAGACCGACGAGACATTCAAATGTTACAATTTAAAATATTACAAAACGAAATTTTAAAGTTATACTTTGTTTATGTAATATTTGAATAAGTAAAGCTACTTTCTTGTATGAATTTCAATGATCCACGACTTTTTCTGCCACCAGGGCGGCGCCACTAGAAAATGAGGTATAATATTTCATAGATTTCATAGTGGGGAAGCTAAACTGTTCGGAAACTGTAATAGCTATTATTTCTTTTTGTACTATTAGCTATATTTTACATTATTAACATTAAAAATAAATAAAAAAAAACCACAGATATTCATAAATGTAGAAAAATTAAAAAGAAAGTTAAAAATGTGCAGAAAATTAAAGAGCAAACCACTGACGGATTGTTTTGTGTATTAATATAATACTCTAGAAACTGATAAACTTTTATTACAAGCCAACTTCTCAATTAAATTACATTGTTTAACAAAAAACTTTACAGCAGCAGAAAATTATGAGTACCCATTGTTTCAATTTAAATTAGGTCTTCACTAACGTAATATTTAAATTAAGTTAAAATAATTGATGCTTACGTTTTTTTAATGCCTTGTGCAAGGTCATTATCACCTTAGTTTGTTTGTTTGCGTCGATTGTGGAAAATTTAATCCCTGAATAAGTGGTGCAGTTATGTTAGTCAGTTATATATAATAGTTAATATATAACTTATGGTTAACGGAAAACCGTGTCTTAGGTAAAATGTGTATTTTTTTAATAGAATAATGGTGACAAAAGAGCACACAGTTCATATTGTAAGTGGATGCTTTGGCCCAAAGATATCTACATCTATACTCTATAAACTACCACGCGGGTACAAAGCTTTCCCCACACTTGTTACGTTTGTTAGTTACCACTATTATATTTTTTATATATAGGATAAGGGTGACAAACGAGCACACAGTCCACCTGATGGTGAGTGGTTACTGTGGCCCATAGACATCTACATCTATCTTCGATTAAGAATCAAAATGCAGATGCGTTGTCACCCATGAGGACTAAGATGAAATGCCTCGTTTTCAGTAAAAAGGGTCTGCTGTTCTCTACACTCACCATACGAAACACAGCAGCGTTAAGCTACTATTTTACGCTGGTATTCTGTGAGAGCGTGGTCCTTCCCCGGTCGAGCCGACCCATTCGTGCTACAACTATAATATAGCTGCAGCATGGCTCTACCACGTATAAATATATTTTATATTTGATTTTTTATAATTATTTAATATTTATTTTAATGAATGTCTAATCAGAGTTCAGTGCTGTAATCTACTTGTACTGGACCTATATCATACTTTCAGTACTGACGTAATACAAATATTTATTTGACGATTTCCATTTGACATAATATTTGTCTCAATCAATTTATTTAAATATGTACGCCAAGTTGGCAGACTAATATTATAACTAAAATTATAACAGAAAAACCACTAAGATAATCTTTATAATATATTTATTAAAACTATAACATATAAACCACTAAGTAACTAAAACTAGTAACTTGTCATACAGTCCTGCTCCCCGCGGTATCGTGCAAAGAACGCTGGCCGCGTTTCCCCGCTATACTTAGCCTTTGAGCGAAAAAAGAACCAGCCCTCATAACACCAGCAGCCACGACCAGCCGCAGATTTAGTTCCTTTCAACGCATGTGGGCCACACGGACCGATAATCTCCACAGCAAATGGCACAAATATGTAGTCATTTTATTAGTAACTAGCTGTGCCCGCGGCGTAGCTCGCGAATATAGGTTTTACTTAAAGAATTTGACGTTTAGGGTAAGAGAATATTAAACGATTTATATCAATACTGTATGAATAAGTGGTAACAAAATAAATCGATACGCTCAAAGTTCTAAGTCGTTTATGATAGAGCTTCCGTGTAAACGACGATAGAAGTAGACTTAGCCGAGGCGTACAGAAAAAGGTTGGCATAGAGTTGGCCATGTGCAAAACAATCAGTACTGGGGTCCACTCCTACAACGCGTAAAGTTTGACCTTGCGCTTTATTTACGATCGTCGCATAACACACGCTGAGTGGGAAACACACTTAAAATAAGGATGTTAGATGATCATCGATGTTAAAAATTAAAACTTCGATGTTTTAACATCGATGTTGACACATGTCAAACATCGAAACATCGACGTCAATGAACCCATAATCGATAATTGGGAACTTGCAAACAATGCGAACTCGCGAAATCAATATCAACTAAATCTTGCATCTGCTCTGAAGATTAAAAATTTTGAATAATTCAGAATTCCTGAACGCATCGTTAACCTAAAAAAATGTCAGTATGGTGAGTCAAACTTAATTGTCAAGTGTCACCTGTGATGTCACAATGGTCACTGCTTTCGCTTTATTTTGTAGTGTCGTCGTCGGTTGTCGCATAATAACTATTCTACGTAAATTGATATTCAAGTTAATAGTTACTTTTCCCTTGATGTGTATACCCACATAATTTTGAAACAATGTGTAAGTATCTACACATATACAAAAACCATCGATAATGGTCATCATCGATGTTTTGAGTAGCCTAAACATCGAACATCGATGTTGAGCTATCGATGCCAACATCGATGTCATCATCGATGTTATTATCCCTATCTTAAAACTGTAAGGAAAGTTATTTGGTATTAGAGGTTTAGAGGGATTCTGGGTATAAAACAATATCACGACATTTATTGCAAATTTACTACTTTTAGTCGAGTTTTCGAGATTTGTTGAATAATTTCGACGTACGCGGTACGTCTCTTTTTTCTGTTTCTGTCTGTGTTTGTGCTTTGTGTTGTTAGCCTACACGGCTCTAACAGTCTTGCAGCTTCGTCGAACTCATGAAGATAAATTTTTACAGTGAGTGTCAATACGATTCACCTGCGAAAAATCTTAACACCGCAATTCAGAAAAGGTTGTAATTTGTACAACGCCATCTATTACGTTCTTTGTGAGAAAACATCCTTTTTTAATTTAAGGAAAACATATTTTTTTTTACTGTGTTTTAAGTATAAATATATTATAATAGAACGTTTTTTTTTTACACACGTATCTTTTTATTACTATTTCTGAGATTTTGTGGCGCCATTAAACAAATTCGAACCTACATTTCAAAATAATAATCATAACTTTCGATAGAATTAACCAATTTTAATAAAACAAAGATTAAATGTAACTCGAAGAAACGCTTTATGATTTTCTTAACGATTTCTTTGAAAAAAAAAGATGTTTACTTTAGACGTGATGCTTTCATATAAAAACAGACAAAGAGACAGAAAGACAATTCTAAAAATTATAAAAATGTACTTATTTAATTATTTTTAGTTCCCCATAATGATTTTAGTCACCATAATATATATATACAATGTACAGAAAGAGACACATGTTATCATCATTTTTATTATATGTATATATTTAAAGAGAGATGGCGCTGCTAACATCCTCAAGAGAACAACTCAAACAAAGCCACCGTTGAGCAAATTCCCTACCCATACTTGAGAATATTTATCATAACTTTTGATGGAATGAACCGATTTTAATGAAATAAAGACTAAATGTAACCCGAAGGTTTACTTTATAATTTCCTTAACAATTCTTATGATATAAATTAGTACTTTAAACGTGATACGTTAACAAACAAACAGACAGACAGACAGACAGACAGACAGACAGAAAATTCTAAAAATGGTAGAAATGTATTTAATTACTTATTTTTAGTACCCCTCAATCACTTTTATTACAAAAATATAAAATGTACAGACATCTGCTATTTACAATTTTATTATATGTATAGATTAGTTTGTCTTTTAGGGATCGTGTAACATCTGAAAAACTGGACCGAATGGGATCATCTTCACAAAATGACCGCTTTATTAGTTTTACATGTTCTTTTTATAGAATGAGGGTGATAAACGAGCACACAGTCTACCTGATGGTAAGTGAATGCTGTGGCACATAGACATCTACATTTATCTACGATTAAGAATCAAAATGCAGATGCGTTGTCACCACTGAGGACTAAGATGGAATGCTCCGTTTCCAGTAAAAAAAAGTCTCCGGTTCTCTTCACTCACCATACAAATCATAGCATTAAGCTGCTATTTCACGCTGGTATTCTGTGAGAGCGTGGTCCTACCCCGGTCGAGCCGACCCATTCATGCTGTAACCATAATATAGCGGCAACATAGCTCTACAGCTAATTTAAGTCCACTACTGAACATAGGCCTCTCCCATAGATTGCCTCATAGGGGGGATTTTCACCATAGTTACCACGCTTGGGAACTGATGGCAACCGCTATTTTTATAGTAGTTATTAGAAAGACGCTGCTGCCCCTCTCCTGATTTGTTTCTCTCTGCCGCCTCTCACGACACCCACGGAATGAATGATATAATGAATATTCTTACACCACCACTACACGGTAAAGGCTAACTAGTATTTTTTTTTGTTACAGGTGGATTTAATATCAAAAGATGAACGCCGCTGGAAACTTTTCCACACAGGCTTAACGCAACGAACTGGAAAAATCAATTTCATCGACAAATTCGATGCTTCTTACTTCGGAATTGATTATAAGGAAGCACATTGTATGGATCCCATGGCTAGGTTGCTTTTAGAGAAATGTTACGAGGCTTTAATAGATGCTGGTAAGTGAGACGTGTAAGGTATAAAAATATGAACGAATTTAAAGCGATGGTTTAACGTTATAGTCTGTTCTCTTAAACACGATCGCCTTTGTGTCGCGGCGGCGACTTCAAAGTTCGCCGCATGGGGCGTACACCGGCAGGAGAATTTGAAAGTTTCTTTGCTACCTAACTTGTGTTTATTATTTATATTTGTATTTTATAACAATAGCCATAAGAATAAAATACTAGTATATTTAATTCTTAGAATAGAAACACATTTATCTAACAAACACAGTAAAAAATAATAAAATAAAAGCAAAACGATAAATCCGCCTCCGCGTGTATTGACACCATCATAGCCAACAGACTATAACTAACAATTAAGCAGACGGATGCGAAAGCCATCTACTTACAGAATCAGATTCTCAATTAGATTAATGTCGTAAAGCATTCCTTTTTCATGGGGTAATACTACTAATAATAGATTAATAACTGGTGGTAGGACTCCCTTTTTACCTAGGAGTCCGTTTGGTTAGGTAGTACTCTTTTACCTATGTACCTAAAGTGTATAGCCGCGTATCGATTATGCGCTTCTGGCGCGTACGCCACGATTGACCTCGCCGACCAGTGCGATCCGTAGAACACGGTCCAAATGTTCGAAGTGTATCAACTAAGTGTTTGGCCTTTCAACATGGATGTCGGTCGTGTACGAGCAGCTGCCGCTTTCATAGTTCCATGCATTTTCTCTGAGCGCTTTATTATGATAAAAACGACTTTTGCTATTCCACAGCAGTTATTTTGCACCGCATAATTTTATCAATTTACGGCATCAATGGTTATCCATAGATCGGAACGCGACAAACACACAAATGATGAAAACAACCGTCCCAACTGGCGCGCGCGCCAAAACTTAAACTACTTTAATACACGGTAAAAAACCGACACCAGATGGAGCGGCCCGCTCCACTTTTGAGCGTTCCAACGAACAATTTGGCGCGCGTTCCAAGACGGTATCCATTTCGCGCGGCTGGAACGCGCGCCAATGTTCGACCTCTTGGAGTGCATAATCGATACGCGGCTTATAAGCCAGTATAAATACAAGCTGTAAGGCATTCTATCTTAATCCTCACAAATGACAATGCATTTATATCAATCTTAGTTCGAGTTGGTTGCAGGTGTCCATGTACTGTAAGTTTGTTTGTCACTTCAGTTTAAAAAAAAACTGTTACAGTTTTTCAAAATTCCACTGCAGAACATATAACGCCTCCCATGTTTGCCATATTCGCTGGCAGATGGGTTGAAAACCTAAGTTTTTTTTATTTTTTACCTATATTTGATATTAGAAAGCGGCTGCCGACCACCTTCTTGCTCGTTCGGTTCCCTCTGTAGCCTCTTACGACACCCACGTGCAGACATAAAATTGCAAACAACTATTTTATATTTTTTTAATGTGTAAGATTTTTATATTTATTTATTTTACGCTTATATTAAAATGTGTTTCATCAGGTATCAATCCCGAAGAGCTCAGAGGCACCAGATGTGCAGTGGTTATAGGCGCCTGTTTTTCAGAGAGTGAAAAAGCATGGTTTTACGATAAAATGGAAGTCAATGACTACGGAATAAATGGGTATACATAATTTCATGAACATAAACACTTACACCTGTCACCCAGAAGGGTAGCTAGAGTAGATACTACATACAGAGTAGATATTGCATACAGAGTAGATACTGCCATTTAGGACGATCCCGACACACCTCTCTCGCCTTCTTTACATCCATATACTTACGTATATAATATGCTCATCGATTAAGGGTACTCTTAATTTGGCCCCTTTTTAATATATCACCAACTTTCGTCTAGGGCGTGCATTTCTGACTCTGCTGTTTACTTCTGCACCATAGATTTGCTTCAGATAGAAAGAATGGATGAAGAAAGAGTGACACTCCTTTTTCGTCCATTCTTTCTACATAACCAAACCACCGAAGCATTCTTTTCTTAATCTTGGTCACAACATCGTCTTGCAATGAAGGAATGAATGAAGAATGAAGGAAGAAAGGACTGTAAAAAGTTTACTGTAAAGAGAAAATTTCAGAAAAAACCCTATTGTTACGGCGTACGGCTGCTCCCTTAAAGGGTCAAATCCTCAGGGGCCCATGAGCTGAAGACTTCCCGAGCAGACGTAGTTCGGGCCTCAATGTGGCCACGTGGAGTCTCTCTAATTACACTAAAATATATGGGGGAGCGTTCTATAATACGGCCAGTCGACCGGGAGGAATTTGGACGTAGCTTACTTACCTATATCCAAGGCGACTGGTCCCTCCGGAGTCGGTCAGGTCGCATGTGGTTGTGTAGTGCAAGGAAAATAAAGTGATGTGATGTGTATCTGGGTGTGACTGATGGTGATTGAACCTAGACCTTGGCCGTCCGCAGCAGCCCGAGCGTCGACACCGCTCCAACTTGAGAGGGCCTTCCGAGGTTGTCCACAGTCACTTTCCTCTTTCGTCACGATGACAGTCAATTAACTCTATCGTACGATTAACTAAATTACAGAAGCCACTAACTATCGCTGGGTATAAGGTTAACGCACAAAACGCACACGGAGTTTCTGGATCAAAGGTCACTACTGTTTCGCGTAGCAACAGTTAGTTCTAGCATATCAGAGGCCGCACTAGCTAATATTGCCGAATGCACTTATGGAGATTCTGAGTCAGACACTATGAGTCCCTGGGAAGCTCTCCAGCAGGAATGCGCGTCACAATGGTAGACCGTATATTTACTGGCCGCGCCGAATTATTCCGAGTTCCCGACAAAAATTACAGCGTGCCGTCCCAAGCACAGCTGACAGACGACTCTGCCTTTTCACTCGCGACCCAAGCGCCATTGCCACGCTCGGCCGAACTTCAACCGGTATCGCGCCGAGCCGAGTGACATCTGGCGTCGATTCTTGACAGCGTTTAGCGCGAACACCTATATATCTACAACATACATAAACACTCACGCCTGTCACCCAGAGGGGTAGGCAGAGACTATGGACTTCCATTTGGCACGATCCTGACACACCTCTCTCGCTTCCTCCACATCCACGTACCGACGCATACACGCTCGTCGGTTAAAGGTACTGTTACGGCCTACGGTTGCTCCCTTAAAGGATCCAATCCCCCGGGGCCCATCAGCAGAAGACTTCCCGAGCAAACGTAGGTCGGGCCTCCTAAGGCCACGTGGAAGTTCTCTAATTACACTAAATATATGGGGGAGCGTTATACTACGGCCAGTCGACCGGAAGGAATTTGGCGGGGTTCACTTACCTCTATCCAAGGCGACTGGTTCCTCCGGAGTCGGTCAGGTCGCATGTGGTTGTGTAGTGCAAGGGAAAGAATGGTGATGTGGTGTGTATCTGGGTGTGACTGATGGTGATTGAACCTAGACCTTAGCCGTCGGCAACAGCCCGAGCGTCGACACCGCTTCAACTTGAGGGGGCCTTTCGAGGTTATCCACAGTCACTTTCTTGGTTCACCACGATGCCAGTCACTTAACTCTATCGTACGATTAACTAGCTTACAGAAGCCACTAACTATCGCGGGGTATAAGGTTACCGCACAAAACACGCCCGGAGTTTCTAGGTCAAAGGTCACTACCGTTTCGCGTGGCAACAGTTCTAAATACCGAGGCCGCACTAGCTTATATTGTCGAATGCACTTATACAGATTCTAAGTCGGACCCAATAAGTCCCGGGAAAGGCTATCCAAACAGGGAATGCGCGTTATAATTCCTAGACAGGATATTTACTAGACGCCCTAACTATTCCGCGGTTCCCGCACAAAATTAACAGCGTGCAAACATTAGCACATCTGGCAGATGACTGACTGCCCTTGGGCGTTTTTCGCACGACCGAAAGTCAAACCGGTATCGCGCCGAGCCGAGTGACATCTCGCGTCAATCCTTGAAAGTGTTTGGCGCGAACAAACCCCCGTCCCGGACATAAGGATTTAGGTCCGCGAGCAAACCGGTCAGCGGGACAAGGTCGCGAAGGCAAGTTGCAAGACCGAATCTACAACCAAACTAGGCCACCTTAGGCATCCCATCAGATCTTGCAACCCTAACCAGCGCCTCAAAAAATAGCCCTAATGTGGCAAGCCGGAGGGTCAGCCTCCACTGGATGCCCCTCCTGGGCATCGCAGCACTTTAACAAGTCCTGTACTGGACAGAAGTCCGACGACCTCTTTCAAACACCTATCTGTGCCCCTATGATTAGTTCCGCAATCCGACCGGATCAGCTCTGCAAACAGTGACGCGACACGAAGCGGCCTCGAGCGGCCTCCTAAGCTTCAGTGCAGAGAGCACCCACAAATTCCACATGAACGTCGTCTGTGGAGAGCCGAACGAAACGCACAGATAGTCCCTAGTATGAATTTTCAACAAGTAGGCCTAGCCAGGCCACCCACCCTATTATCATTTACTAAAATAGTGCGGCAGCTGATTTCAATCCTATGAAGAAGAAGAAGAAGAAGTCCTATGCTCATATTTCAACTAATTTTTCAAAAGCATCAATGTGCAACTACAGAATTAATTCAACCAAATTAATCACCGATGCGCATAGGTCAACTTGCAAATTAAACAAAACAATAACGTAAGGGACAGCCCTACTTCTTCGCAAAGCAAAATTATTAAACACTATCATAAACATAAACATAATTTTTCAAATAGTGCGCCATTCCATTTCAGATGAATTCAAATTTTCCTTTCAGCAAACAGACGCAACAATCAAATACAGTGATTAAATATATTTACAAAACACATGCAGTAGCATTTAAAGGAGTAGATTAAATTCAATTCTTTTAATTTAAACCGCTACAAATAGGAAAATTTCGCGGAAAGCCCAAACCATTTTTTAATTTTAATTCAAGTATTTTTTGACTAAGTGCTCGACCAAACCAAATCTAATACCCCTTGACAGCGTGATTCAACGCTCCAGAGGGGCCCTAATCTTCCCACCACCAAGGGGAGGCCACATGGCGTGAACCCGAGATCGCTAACAATCGCCACTCGGGTTGTACGCCTTCACTGAGGCCGTCGGCAACAGAACATTTTGACAAGTGGACTGTTGACGGCTTAAGGCTCAGTGGAGGTGGCCGTGGTGGGAGCTAAGGCGGCAGCTAGCCAGGGCCGCCTCCATCAAATGGGGAACAGTGGTACACCAGTCGCGGCCACTCAGCTAACGGAAGTGAGAAGGGTCCAACGGACAGATGAGTGGCCGTGAAGTTCCTCTCCACACGCTGAGGGGGGGTGATGACACCCCCGCCCCTGGGGGAATTACCCCCCGACTGGTCGGGGGAGGGACTCCTTTCAAACTTAGGGGCCTGATGGCTGGCCGGCGGGCGCCAAGAGTCGCCCGGCAGAGGGCGTGGCTGAGCGCCCCCGCCCGTGGGGGTCGAGGGCCTGGCAGAGCCCCGAGAGGAGACGCCGTTCGCACCCAGGCACAAAACGGCATGGTGATTGCCCTGGCAATGCAGACAGGGCCGTCGATGCGGACAGTCTCGCTGGAGGTGCCCTCCCAGACATGACCAGCACCAGCGGCGCTCCTTGGCGATAGTTCGCCTCGCTGGAACCGGCTTACCTAATAATTTCGGGCCCGACGTTACCCGATGATCAGATGCTCGACAATAGGAGCAGGGGGGGGTTGACGACGGCTTGCCTGGAGGATTCAGCCTCTCACTGGGCACGGCTCGTAAGTCGTCAACGGTGCCCGCCGCGCTCTCTATCTGCCGGCACTGCTCCTCCAAAAACCGCAGCAGGTCATAGAAGGGCGGAATATAGGAGGCCTCGTCCCCGCCGTACCTCTCCTCAAAATGGATTCGCAGGTCGAGAGGTAGACGGGACAGCACGATGCGGAGCAACAAAAAAGCCCATTCGCTCACTGGTAAACCCAGCCGCCTCAATGTATTACAGGCCACCAAGACTGGATCCAACAGGTCCGGACGCAGTCTGGCCCGGTCACTAAGCAGCGGGAGGCTTAGAAGCTGCTTAACATGCTCGTCTGCAATTCGCCGGATGTTGGCATATCTTCTGGCTAGGAGGTCCCGAGCAGTCTGGTAGGCGTCGTCCGACAATTTCAAGTGGCCGACGACGCCCAGGGCCTCCCCCTCCAGTGAGGCCAGGAGGTACGCCATCTTTTGTCTCGGGGTCAAGTCACTCCGGGCGTCCACTAGGCTGTCGAAAAGACCAACGAAGGTCAGCCATTCGGAAAGGACCCCGGAGAACTTTGGCAGGTCCAGAGTTGGGAGTCGTCCCAACCGCTCCGGCTGAAGCTGCTTCAGAGAGGACTCGGGCAGGTTACTCATCCGAGCTTCACGCGCCTCCTCGGCATACCTGCCTTCAGCCTCGATCAACTCGTCCGTGAGCCACAAGAACTGCTCATAGTCCGCAAAGCAAGAGTCCAGGACTCCCTTCTCCACATCCGAATCCTCGAGCTCAGCGTAAGCCTCCTCCACTGCGGCCCTTCGAGCATCCACCTGCTCGAACCGCTTCATCAAGTTATGGACCCTATCCGGTCGACCTATCAAAGCATGGGCGCTTGTGGCCCAGCGCAACTCAGTCCGCAGACAACGGATCAGTAGCTTAGGCGATGTCATCACTATTAAATACAAATTACGACGCGGCTTGAGCACAGTTTACAAAGATAACAAATAAAAAATACAACAAAAAATTAACAGTTAATAAATGCAGTTCCTATCAAATCGCGTTGAATAGAAATTACACAAATACGAACTACTTGCTACGTATCAACCAAATACAAGTTAGCACAAAAAAGACACAAATCAAATTAACAAATAACAAATACTAGTGCGATCGAATCAAGTTAAATTCAAATTGCGCAAATACAAATTACTACTATTTAGTTCAAATACAACTTACAGTATAAACGAAGATACACATCACGGTCGATCAACAAAAAATGCCTAGCTCGGAAATCGAACCTTCGATAAGTAATCCACTACAACTCTCCGACAACGATAATTAACCGATTACGTAAAAATAACCATCTACCTACATGACGTATATCTCTAGAAAATCTCCCGCTTGCACAACCTAGGGCGCGGCTTTTCAAATTACCCTCTAACCAAAAAAAAGGCAAGCAACAAAGCAACAAAGGAAAATAATTCTATTATTACGTACAAAAAAAATATTTTTACGTATTACGGACGGGCGTGATTGTAGATGCCAATTAAACCAATCACACCAACGCTCCCTGCCACCAAAATTGTTTAATGTTTATCAAACACTATAGTCGGGATCGACCGGGAATCGAACCCGGAATCGCGCTCTGCTACCAGTTTGTTACGGCCTACGGTTGCTCCCTTAAAGGATCCAATCCCCCGGGGCCCATCAGCAGAAGACTTCCCGAGCAAACGTAGGTCGGGCCTCCTAAGGCCACGTGGAAGTTCTCTAATTACACTAAATATATGGGGGAGCGTTATACTACGGCCAGTCGACCGGAAGGAATTTGGCGGGGTTCACTTACCTCTATCCAAGGCGACTGGTTCCTCCGGAGTCGGTCAGGTCGCATGTGGTTGTGTAGTGCAAGGGAAAGAATGGTGATGTGGTGTGTATCTGGGTGTGACTGATGGTGATTGAACCTAGACCTTAGCCGTCGGCAACAGCCCGAGCGTCGACACCGCTTCAACTTGAGGGGGCCTTTCGAGGTTATCCACAGTCACTTTCTTGGTTCACCACGATGCCAGTCACTTAACTCTATCGTACGATTAACTAGCTTACAGAAGCCACTAACTATCGCGGGGTATAAGGTTACCGCACAAAACACGCCCGGAGTTTCTAGGTCAAAGGTCACTACCGTTTCGCGTGGCAACAGTTCTAAATACCGAGGCCGCACTAGCTTATATTGTCGAATGCACTTATACAGATTCTAAGTCGGACCCAATAAGTCCCGGGAAAGGCTATCCAAACAGGGAATGCGCGTTATAATTCCTAGACAGGATATTTACTAGACGCCCTAACTATTCCGCGGTTCCCGCACAAAATTAACAGCGTGCAAACATTAGCACATCTGGCAGATGACTGACTGCCCTTGGGCGTTTTTCGCACGACCGAAAGTCAAACCGGTATCGCGCCGAGCCGAGTGACATCTCGCGTCAATCCTTGAAAGTGTTTGGCGCGAACAGGTACTCTTCATTTGGCCCATTTTCAATATATCGCCAATTTGGTCGATAAACTTTCGCTTAGGGCGATCCTTCCCAACTCTGCCGTTCACCTCTGCAACATAAATTTGCTTTGTCACTCTTTCCTCATTCATTTTTTCTACATGACCAAACCACCGAAGCATTCCTTTCTTAATACTGGTCACAACATCATCTTGCAAACCACACTCTTCTCTTATCAAACAATTTCTCACTCTGTCATTATCAACAACATACATCAAAATAAAAATCTAACGACACTTCATGTAGAAATCCCACAAGACATTTAGGCTATAGAGAGTGCCAAAGAAACAGACAGACATTCATACGTATTTTAACGTAGTGGAGTTATACTGCAACTATATTATATTTGTAACACGAATGTGTCGGCTCGACCGAGGAAGGACCACACTCTCATAGAATACCAGCGTGAAATATGATCTTAATACTGCTGAGTTTTGATTGCAATGATATCGGATTTGAGACATTTTAGCCTAGTCCTCAGGGGTGACAACGCATCTGCATTTTCATTCGTAATTGAGGATAGGTGTAAGATGTCTATGGGCCACAGCATCCACTTACCAGGTGTGTGCTTGTTTGTCATCCTTAATCTATAAAAAACAGACATACACCCATACATACATACAAAAACATTAACCTCTTTTTGGAGCAGTCCGGAATAACATGCCTTAAAATATAAAATTTATTTGAATTTAGAATTCTAATAAAAATCTAATAGGTAATAATTTAAAAAAACAGCTATTGCACAGGTAAATAGCTATTATTAAAGAGTAGCTATTGAACATAAAAGACGGTACATTAATGTAGAAGTTCAACTCAGAAAGAAAGAAATTTAATTTTCTGTTCAAAGCGCGGACAAGGCCATACTACTTATACTTAGTTGCAGTATGTTTCTTTGTTTTGTGATCGCGACAGGCATCCAACGACTGTAGTGGCCAATTAACTGTGGGTTAATGAGGGCTAATAAAGATGTCGCTGGTTGGGACTGACGTAAAGTTTTTTGCTACACAATGTCAGTTAATTGAGAAATTAGTTTTAAATAATAGTTTATCATTATCTAGAGTATTAAATTAATACACAACATAATGCGTCAGTGGTTTGATTTTTAATTTTTTGCACTTTATAACTCTTTTTATTTTAATTTATCTACTTTTAGTAACATTTATAGTTCGGTTTATTCATTTCTAATCTAATTAATATGAAATATAACTAATAATACGGAAAGGAAGATTAAAGTTTACATTTTCCTAAGAAATTATCGTCGCCCGCTATAAAATCTGTCAAATATTTTACTTCATTGTAAAGTGGCGCAGCCCTGATGACAGGAAAAGTCGTGGATGCCTTCATTGTGAGCTGTCTCGCGCAAAAAAAAAAAAAATACAAAATATTGTTAGGACTTTACTGTACAATATTATTGTAAAGTTATATATGTTGAAAAATATAATTCCGACGGGTTTCTCGCTGGTTCTTCCCAGGACAGAGGTATTTTCCGAACAGTAGTAAATAATTAAAAAATACTTTCAATAAGTACTATGTAATTATGAATATTGAATAGAAATTATTCTTTTCTATTCTATTGAGAGCTGTGGTAGCTCAGGGGATAAATTTCACTATACGCGGGCTACTTGGGTTCGCGATTCCCACCGTCACCAATAAAATTGTTAATTGCAATTTTGAGACCTGATTTACCACGTGCTCGGCGGTGAAGTAAAAAACATCGTAATCCTGCATGTTTGAGAAATAAAAAAAATATATTTCGAACACGTGAAGTACGCCAAAACGAAACGGATCGCTAGTTAGGAATTTTGATTCTTGATTGGGGATAAATGTTGATTCTATGGGCCGCAGCATCCATTCACCATCGGGTAGACTGTATACTCGTTTGTCACCCATATTCTATAAAAAAAAAGATTTTAACACATACATTTATTTGTTTAGATGTTCCCGCAGTTCGTTTGCGACACGCATATCCAAATGGTTAGGAGTGAGCGGACCTTCATATATCATCGACACCGCTTGCTCAAGTTCTATGTACGCAATAGAACATGCGTACAGGGCAATTATCAACAGCAACTGTGATACTGCCATAGTAGCTGGAGCGAACCTTTGCTTGCATCCTATTGTGTCCCTACAGTTTTCAAGGTATGTCTATTAAAAATAAATGATATATCTTCATAGCTCTTAAACGACTTTAAAAAAAATACCCCTCGATTTTGTAAAAAGGAGGAGAGCTCCTCCTATTTTTTAAATGGAGGAGAATTCCTATTTTGTAATACGGAGGAGAACTCGTCCTATTTTGTAAAGAGGAGCAGGACTCCTCGCATTTTTAAAATTATACGTAGATTTATTTATACGTGGTAGACCCATGCTGCAGCTATTAGTAGTATAGTTGTGGCACGAATGGATGGAATGAATAAACTAAATAGCAGCTTAATGTTGCTGTGTTTCGTATGGTGAGTGTAGAATACCGAAAAGCTTTTTTTACTACAAACGGGGTATTCTTAGTGCTTAGGGGTGACCACGCATCTGCATTTTAATTTTTAATCAAGGATAAATGTAGATGTCTGTGGGCGACAGCATCCATTTGCCATCAGGTGGACTGTGTGCTCGTTTGTTACCCCGATTCTATAAAAAAATGGAAGGAACGATAATAATTTTCTTTATTGTTACAGTCTAGGAGTAGTATCTCCAGATGGAAGATGTAAAAGTTTTGATGACAGAGCAAACGGATACGCCCGCTCCGAGGCGGTTGTTGTATGCATCCTTCAAAAAGCTAAAAACGCAAGGAGGTATGTATTGGAGTGAGTTTATCTTAAATATAGTTATAATAAATTACACAATGAATGAATGAATGAATTTATTTTCTCTTCACAATTCATACATTCATTCATTACAGCCCTTCACAAGTCCACTGCTGAACATAGGCCTCCCCCAAAGAATGCCACAAAGCACGGTCCTGAGCCACCTGCATTCATCGATTTCCTGCGTGTCTTACCAGGTCGTCACTCCATCTCGTGGAGGAACGCCCTACACTTCGCCTACCGGTACGAGGCTGCCACTCGAGAACCTTTCTTCCCCATCGGTTGTCGAATCTTCAAGCTAAATGGCCGGCCCACTGCCACTTCAGCTTACTAATCCGTTGGGCTATGTCGGTTACTCCGGTTCTACTGCGGATATCCTCATTCCTAAGTTTATCACGCAGAGAAACTCCGAGCATAGCCCTCTCCATAGCTCGCTGAGCGACCTTGAGCTTCCTCATACGGCCAGCAGTGAAGGACCACGTCTCAGTTCCGTAAGTCATCACTGGCAACACGCACTGGTTGTACAATTTCATTTTAAGGTTTTGAGGTATGTCTGACGAGAAGATGTGTCGTAGCTTCCCGAACGCTACCCAGCCGAGTTGAATCCGTCGATTGACCTCTCGGTCGAAGTTGGACTTACCTAGTCGGACTATTTGTCCCAGGTAAACATACTCGTCAACAACTTTGAGCTTAGTGCTCCCAACAACTACCGGCATAGGTGTGACATGGACATTAAACATGATCTTTGTTTTGTCCATGTTCATCTTAAGACCTATCCGTTGGGAAACACTATTGAGGTCATTGAGTATAGTGCTTAGGTCCTCCAGCGATTCTGCCATGAGGACTATATCGTCGGCAAATCGAAGGTGAGTGATGTACTCGCCATTGATGTTGCTACCGTATCCTTTCCAGTCCAGAAGCTTGAAAACGTCTTCCAATGCAGCGGTGAAGAGTTTCGGGGATATGACGTCACCCTGTCTTACACCTCTCTACAATTGGATAGGTTTCGTACTCTGGTTCTGTACTCGGATAGCCATCGTAGCCCTACTGTACAAGCACTTCAACACTTCGATATACCGACAGTCAACTTGGCACCGCTGAAGGGACTGCAGCACCGCCGAAATTTCGACGGAATCAAAGGCTTTCTCATAGTCCATATACGCCAGACATAGTGGCAAATTGTACTCTTCGGACTTCTGTACAATTTGCCGAAGGGTATGTATGTGGTCTATGGTGCTAAAGCCCTTTCGGAAACCGGGTTGTTCGGGAGGCTGGAAGTCGTCAAGTCTGCGCGCGAGACGATTCGTAATGACTCTCGAAAACAGCACGTAGACGCGGCTCAGAAGGGAAATCGGTCTGTAGTTCTTCAAGAGAGCGTTGTCACCTTTCTTGAAGAACAAGATCACCGCACTTCTGCTCCACGCCTCCGGTGTAATGCCACCATGGAGAACGGAATTAAAGAGCTTCTGAAGGACTTCAAGTACCGGTCTTCCACCCGCTTTCAGAAGCTCCGCTGTAATTCCATCCTCGCCTGGGGCCTTACCGTTTTTAAGGTGCTGGAGAGCCATTCTAATCTCGCTCAGACTGACGTCCGGGATATCTTCGGAATAATGTCGGATGAGACTCGCTCTTGGATCGTTAATCACACTTGCGTGTGGCTCCAACGATGATGTGTACAGCTGCCCATAGAACCTCTCAATCTCACTCAAAATGTCAGGTGTCCCGGAAACAATGCTGCCACATTCTGTCTTCAGCTTTGACAGTTGGCTCTTTCTGGCAGACAGGTCTCTGGCAAAGACTTTGGAGCCTGGATTCCGCTCGATCGCTTCTTCAATACGAGCTGTATTGAAGTTGCGTAAGTCCCGCCGCATGCATTTGGAGATCTGTCTGTTCAGTTGCCTGTATGCTGTCAAATCTGTTGAAGAATGTAGCTTCATCTCCCGTCTAACAGCCATGAGATTAAGAATGTGATCGGAGAGTTTTTGTGTTCTTCTGCGGCGGGTCTTGCAGAACTTAGCTCCGACCGCATGGACAGTTTCCACGAGCTTATCGTTCATATCGTCCACTTCATTGCCGTCTTCCAGGCACTGAAAACGGTTTTGTAACTCGAGCTGAAAGGTTTCGGGACTTTGGAACAGAGCACGAGGGGGACGGAGCGTTGTCTTCATTAGACGAGACCTCTCCAACTTAACGTTTAGATTCAGTGTGCCTCTAACCATTCGGTGATCGCTACCAGTTTTCACCCTCGTGATCACGGAGACATGATTGAACAGTTGTCGTCTGGTCGTCATAATGAAGTCAATCTCATTTTTTGTCGAACTGTCGGGGCTCGACCAGGTCCACTTCCTGTGGGGCCGCTTCTGGAAGAAAGAGTTCATCATAAAGAGTCCCTCTTTCTCCATGAAGTCGGCCAGCTGCTGGCCCCTTGGGTTCTGTTGCCCTATTCCAAATTTCCCTACTTTCAGCTCGCCGTTCTCTCTTGTGCCTAGTTTTGCATTGAAGTCTCCCATTAACACCGTATATTGGGTTTTGGAGGAATGCATGGCTCTAGAGATATCCTCATACATTTCCTCCACCTCCTCATCGGGGTGTGCCGAGGTTGGTGCGTAAACCTATATGACCTTCAGCGAATACCGTTTATAAGTAAACTTAATGCTAAGTATTACAAAATTGCCAGACTGGTACCTAACTTGTGAGAGACTGGTGCCTAATGTAGGTATAAAAACCTGTATCACAGGTTACATCAGCCTATAATACGAGTAATAGCCTATAATAACATGAATACAATAATTCAATAGGCAATTGTTAATCCACTAATTAATTCATCATACAATGTGTATAATGGTCAATGTTTGACGACTTTGTGGCGCAGTGGCTTAGCAAAGAGTTGCGGCGCTAAGAGCCGCAGGTTCGAATCCCACACGGAATAACTACTTGCATGGCCTACAAATAATTGTGCCGGGTTTGGATTTTGTCCTTGTAAAATTTATTACAAACTACCTTCATAATATAGGGGAAAATTCTTGTGTGGGGGTAACATTTAAAAAAAAAATAAAGGAAAATTAGTGAGGAAACCTGCATGCATACTGAAGCAGCGTAGCAGTCTACTTGGTTCATAACTCTATCAGAAATTATAGAGGTGCCCTTTTGAGCTATAAAACGTATTGACTCTGTAACTTTATTTCTTTTTTACTAAAATTACAGTAAATATGAAATTACTCACATAGGATCAGTAGTCTAAAAGGCAATGAACCGGCTATTTATTTCAAATAACTGAAAAATCATTAGGAAGGAAGGTATTAAGTGGCAGCTTAGTACTACTAGTACTAAGTGCATTCTTAGGCCCATTGGATGCTCGTACAGAAACATTCAGGACCATTCTATTCTATTTTTTAAAAACGTTACCCCCACACTAGGATTTTCTCCTGTATAGTGGAGGCAGTTTACAAACATAGATTGTACGAGCACAAACATCCAGACCCGGAACAATTATTTGTAGGCCATACAAATATTTGTTCCGTGCGAGATTCGAACCCGTGGCCCCCAGTGCAACAACACATTGCTAAGCCACTGCGCCACGGAGCCGTCAAATGATGAAAGTAAAGATCCTAAGGCAAAGTGTAAAGAAGGCAACTAGCTAGAGGAGAAACTTCACGTTACGATGGGATAATATAACGTTTCACTGCAAAAATACGAGTATTTACTCCTGAGTAGAAATATTTCTGAGACGTCTTGGCTCTTGGTCCTTGACAGGATCCAATTTAAATGGAATTCTGTTTAAAATATTCAGACAATTCTATTTAAACGTTTTTTTTAAATAAATTAAATCTATCTCACCAACATCTTAAATATTTACAGGTAACAGTCTAACAGTATGCCGTCGTTCATATTTGATCAGTAAAATTTTATTTTGCAATGCAACTAGTCTGCTTACTTAGACTTTCTTCATCCACCAGCACATACACATACACCCTCATATCATACATACAACAACACTTCTACATTCACATTCACACACTCCTTAATATACACATACTAATTACAATTCTCTGGAGATTAAACTTTTTGTAATCTTACTTTTTTTGTAATCCTTCAGGGAAGTAGCGGGTCATTCCCAACACGAGTATCCTCTGATTAATCACTGGGAAGTTTCAGTATTATGTTGTTAACAAGATTACCGAAATAAACGTAATATTTATTAAAAAAAATGTTAAGCAAAGTTATTATTAGTTAGTATCGTTAGTTAGTACAAGTGTTATTATCAATTTTTTAATGTACATAATATTTTCAGAGTTTACGCCAAATTGGTTCACGCGAAGACAAACTGTGATGGTTATAAAGAGCAAGGAATAACATACCCCGCAGGTCATATCCAGAAGGTTCTTCTTGAGAAGTTTTATGAAGAAGTTGGGGTTAGCCCTTCCACGTTAGAATACCTTGAAGCGCATGGCACAGGTAAAACAGTTACTCATGTTTTATTTTATAAGGTAAGGGTGACAAACGAGCACACAGTCCACCTGAAGGTAAGTGGCTGCTGTGGCCCATAGACATCTACATCTATCTTGGATTACGAATCAAAATGCAGATGCGTCGTCACCCGTGAGGACCAAGATGGAATGCCTCGGTTCCAGTCAAAATGGTTTCCGGTTCCCTACACACACCTACGAAAGACACTGGTTTTCTGTGAGAGCGTGGTCCTTATCTGGTCTAGCCGACCCATTCGTGCTACAACTATACTAACAATAGCTGCACTGCAATGGCTCTACCAAGTATAAAAGTTTTGCCTGCCCAATAACCGCACATTATGATATAAAAGGATAATTTGTGAAAGCTCAGTAAAAGAAAGAGCTTTCTTGTAATCTTGGCGTTACCGTTACAGGCTATTAAATACCATTACAGAACAATTTTTTTTCATATGGGGAATATTTCCCATAGTTACCACTCTTGACCTTTTTTTATAGGATAGGGTGACAAACGAGCACACAGTCCACCTGATGGTAAGTGGTTGCTGTGGCCCATAGATATCTACATTTATCCTCATTTGCGAATCAAAATGCAGATGCGTTGTCACCCGTGAAGACTAAGATGGAATGCCTCTTTTCCAGTAAAAAGGGTCTCCGGTTCTCTACACTCACCATTTTACGCTGGTATTCTGTGAGAGCGTGGTCCTTCCACGGTCGAGCCGACCCATTCGTGCTACAACTATACAACTAATATAGCTGCAGCATGGCTCTACCACGTATATATCTGTTGGTTGGCAACCGCGATATTTTATTTTTAGGTGGTATTAGTAAGACGCTGCTGACCATGTGGTTTGTTTCTCTCTGTTGCCTCTTACGATATCCACGGGACGATATAGGGTATTGGATATTCTTACACAGCCACTACATGGTTTCGCCACTTTTGCTTAGGCCAGACGTAAAATACCCGGATCCCCGTGGTCGTGAACATCGTGGGTGCGAGACGTCTGGCACTGTGGTAGTCAGTTCGAATGCCAAGAGTTATGATTAAAAATATCAAATAAAGCAAACTCTCTATACAAAGTGAGAGGCTTATATCTAGACGTGGCCTTTTAGGGGTGAAAATGAAGAAGGACAAGTATCGCCATTCGTTCACTGCCAATACAATGCCATCTATGCGTTAATGAGCTAGATTGGAATAGTTAATTCAAACCCACAACTTGAGGGTTAATATTTCAGGGATAATCTTGTGCTTGAGGTCAAACTTAACAGTATCAAAATTTGTGTAACATAATAATATGGACTTTTTAAGTCTGTGCCTTTTCACATGGTAAAGTCTAAATAAAGCTAAAAATTGTTTTTAAATTCCTGCTGGAATACTTTTATCTATCTTCGAATCCTATCGTATGAGAATAGGAGAGAATCAAATCACAGAACGTATTTTTTTGAAATCTACTAAATTTACTACAAATGAGATTCTTCTGACCGGAGAAGAAGCGCAAAAAATGGGAAACGAAACGAGATAGCAAGTGGATGTTGCGGATGAATCAAAATACAGATGTCACCTCTAAGCACAAAGATGGAATGCCAGTAAAGTCTCCGGTTCTCGCCGCAGAACTGGAACACGTCTTGATAATACGAAGCATAGCAGCATGCTATTTCACGCTAGTGTTTCGTGCGAGCGTGGTCCTTCTCCGGTCAAGCTGACTTATTCCTTTTACAGTCATAATACACTGGCTGGAATACTATGGCTTGTAATTTAATTCTATTTCCCTTCATGGTTAAAAGTTTCTGCAGTCCTTGGACATCCGTAATCAATTTCAAGCAAATAAGTATATACGCTTATAGGTCCTTATACCTCAGATAACTACAGCCTCATTAACTTGTATTTAATTGAGGCTCATGATAGCCACATGATCATATACGTGCGTTTCTTTAGTGTCATTTATTTTACTCAGTTTATCTGCATCATCTTTTGCACCATTATATACATTTACATCAAGTTTTGATATGAAGGTAAAAAATTTAAAATAGATTGTATAAATATGTAATACATTAATTAAAACTCGTGTCGCATTATTAGTAGTAAACATGATAAACATTTCGTCAATATGTCACCACTAACATCTTTTAGTCCCCGGCTAGATTTGAGATTCACAACGCTTAGTCTCTCGTGTGAGTCTATATAGACTATAATATAGAGAAGAGTTTATAGAGACGATGAAACAGATGGAGAAAAGCTAACATGTTCTCCCTCATATCCTTGATTAATTCATGAATACTAGATATTTATATACTATATATTAATCAACAGGAACCTCAGTCGGGGATCTTGAAGAGCTTAAAGCTATTGACGCCGTATTTTCTGCAGGGCGTCCAGATCCACTTTTGATTGGGTCTGTTAAGTCCAATATGGGCCACAGTGAAGCAGCTGCGGGTGTGTGTGCTCTTGCTAAGGTAAATACATTTTTGTGTGTAGCTGAAATCTGTTATTTGAAGATTTTAACAATAAATCCACCAAAAAAATTTACAAAATATGTTCAAAACACTCTGAATGTAGTGAAGGGTATTAGCATAATTTTTTGTCAGGAAAATTTAATATTACCTCTAAAATATTATGTCACTATAAAAATGTATATCAGTATTTCTGCCCAATGATCTAGTAAGTTGTCATGAATTAGTGAAAACTTAACTGACTTTTGTAATAACTTGATTTAAAAATTGGTTATGTATTATAAGCTGCATGTTTTCTTTAAATAAAGAAAAATACAAATTTAAGACATAAAAGTTTTGTTTGTCTTTCTGTTCGGATAAATTTTTGGAATGACTAAAACGATAGTGATGTGTTTCTATTTTCATTTTATATTAATATTTGAACCGTGTAGTGGCGGTATAAGAATCGCCATTATCGTGGGTGTTGTAATAGACGACAGAAGGAAACCAAAACAGGAGATGGTATCAGCTTCTTCGTGATAACAATTCAAAATAATACGTAACTACAGTTACCAACCCGCCTGCCAAGTGTGGCAACTATCAGGAAATTTATGGAGGGGGGGGCACCGTTCAGCAGTAGACTTTTGTAGGCTGCTATGGATGGATATTAATTTTATCTTTTTCTTTTAATCAGCTTTGCATCGCTTACCATTCTGGATATATTCCTCCTAATATAAATTATTTGAAGCCAAGAGAAGAAGTCACTGCTCTAACAGAAGGGCGTTTGCAAGTGGTCACAGAGAAACGCCCTTGGAATCGTGGAAGAGCAGCTGCCAGTAGCTTTGGATTCGGAGGAGCCAATGCTCACTTGTTACTGGAGAAATACGCTAGAAATAAGGTTTGTCACATGGCCTGATAAATTGAACATTTCTAAAACGCTTGATAAACTAACTTAATTAAATTCATTATTTGTTATATTCAGTGTTAATTATTTTTAACAGAGTTAAGGGCAACAAATAAACACACAGTCCACTTGATGGTGACTGGATGTTGTAGCCTATGGACATCTACATCCGTTATCGATTATGTTCAAAATGCAGATTCATTGTCCCCCCTCAGGACTAATATGAAATGCCTCGTTTCCAGAAAAATGGAGCTCTTTTAAACTGTAATAAAATTTAATTATTTTAAGTTATTTTAAACGTTTTGAGCCACCTGACCTGGGGCTAATTTCAGTTTTTGATAATTTATTTTTGGTCCTATCTATTCAAAATGAGCTTACAGTGCCTTGAAATCTTACAGCGTTATGCTTTGTTTGGATTTTTTTTATGGAACTGGAGGTAAACGAGCATCTGTTCACCTGATAGTAATTGATCATCGTCGCTTACGAAAATCTGCAAAACCAGAGGAATAGCAAGTGCATTGCTGGCCTTTTAGAAAGTAGTAGGCTCTTTTTATGAAGGTTCAACAGCCATCATTTCTACTGAAATGATAATGTTTTTAAATTAAATAGCTCATGAATCATCATTGGAAGGAGTTAGTTTTCTCTTGCGAGAATTTGTAGTGTATTCAATCTGATGTAATTTCCGGTTCCCTTCACTAACTGCACGAAACACTGAGATTCTGTGAGAGTGTGGTATTTTCCCGGTTAAGCTCACCTAGTCTTGCTACAATCGTAATACAGACTTCATCAAGTAAAACATTACATTCTAGTATTGCATTTGAGTTGGTTTCTATTTTTACTAATATTTTTAAAAATGTAATTATTCCGTACGCGGGTTCATCACTAAACTCCTAAATGGCTGGACAGATTTTTATTAATTTTTTTTGTGTTTTTGAGTGGTTCCCGAAATAGTTTAAATTCACAATTGGACCCGGTAGGTGAAGCTGTTGTCGATATCTGGAAATCACCGGATCGCTAGGTTATAAATATATTTTTAGTGCATAAATTAATAATACTTGATTATTATTGTGCACGTCAATATTTCAATCATTTTATTTTATTATTTTGGATTGTCTGCAACAAATTTCTACGTAGCAATAAGACTGCCCTTTGTTTTTCCCTCTCTTTATATTTTTAATATATTTGTTATGTAAATCTTGATTTGGTGTGCAATAGGGATTAACCGGATCAAATTATCCTTTTTTTAGATCAACAATGGATTACCGACTGATGATTTGCCACGTTTAGTATGTGTTTCTGGTCGCACACAGTCGGCTGTAGATAAAATTTTTGATGATCTCGAATCCAAGCCCGTTGACGCAGAAGTAGTGCGCTTATGGCATGCAATCTATGCTAATGAAATAAGCAAGCATAACTACAGAGGATATATTCTTCTAGGTATCGTATAAGCTACATCATGGTTAAATAGTCAAAAACTAACAGAAATGTATATTTGGACTCCCGTTACTGCCCATGTTTATAGAATAAAGGTCACAAACGAGCTCACAGTCCATCTACATTTATCTTCGATTATGAATCAAAATGCAGATGCGTTGCCAACCCTAAGGACTAATAATGGGAATAACTGACTAATAATAATGGGATGCTGGATGATGATGAATGTACTGCTACAAAATATGTATATACCTTTAGCTATGGACAATTTCGACAGTCAAATAGCATTAAATAGTTGGTAGTAATGTGTTCTAGACCGAATTTCGGTCAGAAAGTAGGACTGGGGAAAGAATTACAGAATACAAGTGTATGATTGAGCACCCTCGATCCCCTCGCTCTCATAGTCTGATGAGAAATGCTAGCCCTGTAAAGTTCAAGTTCACTAGATTTTCCTACACCTTTACCATTGTCAGTGGACAATGGTAAAAATGTGGGTATATATGATACTTCATCATCATCAGCATTTTGATATTTGATGGCTCCGTGGTTCAGTGGCTTAGCAATGAGTTGCAGCGCTAAGGGCAACGTATTAGAATCCCGCACGGAACAAGTATTTGTATGGCCTACAAGTAATTGTTCCGGGTCTGGATGTTTGTCCTTGTGAAATATATCTATATGAACTGCCCCTACGATACATAAGAAAATTCTAAATTCTAGTGTGGAGGTACCATTTTTTAAGAAAAATAAAATTCAAACATCGATAACCTACTTGTAAATTTATCGTAAATCATCCAGATACTATTTAATATGAAACTCAAATATTAATGTAAGTTTTAGACATCAGCTACAATCAATGTCATCTTTAGTTAAATTATTTATTGATATATTTAAAGTAACTTTGCTGGGGGTATTTTCTTATATGCCACGTTTGGTTATGACGATATCAGAAGTCTCACACCTTCGACGCTGCTTCCCGTCGCTGTTCTAGATATTTTACGTCTGGCGTAAATGAGATGGGTATACCAGATGCTATCAGAAGCCGTATGGTTTTTTTGAAGTTTTCCCATTGTTAATTACCATACCCATAGATGAAATGGGTTGATGGATACTCTTACGCCGCCACTACACGGTTAAAGGCTTAGCAGTGAGTTGCAGTGCGGAGGGCCTCGAGTTCGAATCCCGCACGGAACAAGTATTTGTATGACCTACAAATAATTGTTCCTGATCTGGATATTTGTCTCTCAGTATGTAAGCTTCCGCGTTTACAGGAGAAAATTCTAGTTTATCTTACGTTTTTTTAAAGTAAAATGAAATTATAAATGAAACAGATTTCATTGATTCTGCTTTAAGAATTTTAACCTAAACATTTATCTTTTATTTATATATTTTTTATAACATGTATGAGGAAAAGTAAAAATGTGTATGTGCTTCATATCACTTTTGACATTGGTACACACACACACAATTTAATTTAATTATTTTATTTTGCTAGGTACTACACCAACAAAAAGCATCCAACTGGCTCGACACGTTCAGCATTCACTGTCCGATACTCGCAAGCCGGTTTGGTTTGTGTATTCCGGTTTGGGTACGCAATGGCCAGCGATGGGCAAAGATTTGTTAAGGATATCTACATTTGCAAACGCTATTAATATGTAAGTATGAATATCATACGAGTGAAAACTTTAAATTATTATTTGTAAATATTAATATAAAATATGAATGCAAAGGCATCGCAATGATATGTTTTTGGTTGCTCATATATATACTCATATTATTAACGAGTAAATAAGGTTAATACTATTTAAAATACATACCTTTCATTGTTTTTTTCTATTTGCCTGGTGCCCGAAGTAATTGTGTTATTTAAAAAAATACTGTGTGAAACCTGGAGTGACCATGGTCAAAATCTTGACGACGGCTGTACCCATGCATGTACCCATTGTCATGTCAATCTCTCCATTTAATTAAATTCAATTAAACTTTTGCGGGTTTTTTTTTAATTTTAATATATGGTAGAGCCATGCTGCTGCTTTATTATGGTTGTGGCATGAACCTTGGAAGGACTAAGCTCTTAGAAAATATTAGAGTGAATTAGCATCTTAATGGTGCTGTGTTTCGTATGGTGAGTATAGAGAACCGGAGATCCTTTTTACAGGAAGCGAGCCATTCCATCTAAGTTCTCTGGGTTAACAACGCATCTGCATTTTGATTCTTAATCGAAGATACGTACATCTACGTATAAGCGTCTATGGGCTGCAGCATCCACTTACCATCAGGCAGACTGTTCTGCTTGTTTGTCAGCCTTTTTTATAAAAAAAAAATTTATTCTCTGAAAAGTATGGAGTGTAGAGTAGAAGGACCATCTCTATATATGAAAATGTATCCCTAAAAACGTGTCCAATAAGGGTAGCGATGCAGTAGCATAGGATAAATAAAAAAAAAGCGCCAAAAGTAATTAGAATAAGATGGAGACATAAACAAGGACGGACCAGGTCGCTTGGTTTTCTACTACGTAAATAGTTGAGATTTTGTATACTGGCATTTTACTAACTACTTTAGTCATGGAATTTTTAAATATTTGAATTCAGCTGAATTCACTCCGTTCACAACAGCTATCTCCATATCTTAGTTTTTCAGACGCCAGCGCTATTGTGGTAGGTTTTGGAACCCCTATTTTCAGTAAATAGTAGGACACTTTTTCAACTTTCGCCCCTTATAAGATGGTTCTCCTTGTACTCCATACTGAAAAGGATAACATGAACATAACATGTCCGATCTGTGAGGGTACTTTTAGGTATAGGCTCATTATATCTAAAAGTACCCTCATGGATCGGACAAGTTTAAAATAAAATATTGTATAATTGTGTCAATAAATTTAAACTGTCAGCCAGTATAATCACAGGCTGTGAAGCATTCCATCTTTATTCTGATAGGTGAGAAAGCTTATGTAGCCTTATTTGTTTGAAGTTCGCCGCAGGTGTCTATATATAGACTGCAGCAGTCACTTTCCATTAAGTTTACTGTAAGTTTACTTGTCACTTGAGATGTTTAAAAAAACTGTGGAAATAAAGATGTTAAAAATTAATTAGTTAAGATTCGTGTAATAATATATAATGAGGTGTCTTCCTAATTTGAGGAGCACCTCCCGGCCTACCTCAATGAGGGTATTATATATATTAATAAATAATATAAAAAAATAATAATAATTTTCTGCTCACCAGATGTCGCTAGTTGACACTGAGGTAAAGTTTTTTGTTATACAATGTAATTTAATTGAGAAGTTGGTTTTTAATTAAAGTTTATCAGTTTCTAGAGTATTATATTAACACACTTAACAAAGTGTCAGTGGTTTTCTCTTCAATTTTTTTGCACATTTTTAACTTTTCTTTAATTTTTCTGCTTTCATGAATATCTGTGGTTTGGTTTATTTATTTTTAACCTTATGAATATAAAATATAACTAATAGTGCAGAAAGAAACAATAACCTTTACATTTTCCGAACATATTAACTTACCTATATGAAATCTGTCAAATATTATACCTCACTTTCTAGTGCCACCGCCCTGGTGGCAGAAAAAGTCGTGGATACCCTCATTGTGTGCACTATCCCTGACACCACTACTCCCAGCACTACACACTAGGAATCACACACCACCATCGATAGTACGACACGTGTTTCGCCTCTAAACGAGGCACTATCAGGTGAAATAGATTCTACAGTGGTTGACCGAAATTCGCGTGTATTGCTTTCAGATGCCACAAGACCTTAGAATCCAAAGGAATAAAACTGTCTGACATTATTTCAAAGCATAACATCAATTCCTTTGAAAACATCGTTGAGTCTTTCGTTGGTATTGTTGCCGTTCAAATTGGTATGACAGATGTCCTGAAAAGTGTTGGTATAAAACCAGATTACATTGTTGGTAAGTAAGAGGATCATTCATTATCATAGTAAACTGGTTTTTAAATTACCGTATAATGGTCCTGATGGTACTGAAATGGTACTGAAAATTACCTTTGATGATGTGCTATGATCTCATCCATAATGAGCTATGGAGTGGTAGAGCCACGCGGCAGCTTTTGCAGTCGCACGGATGGGCCGGCTCGAACGGGGGTGGTACCACGACCTCACAGAAAACCAGCGTGAAGTAGAGGTTTACCTCTGCGTTTCGCTTGGTGAGTGCAGGTGACCGGAGGCCCTTTTTACTGGAAATGAGGCATTCCATCTTAGTCCTCACGGGTGACAACGCATCTACATTTTGATTTGTAACAGAGGATAGATGTAGATGTCTATGGGCCGCAGCAACCACTTACCATCAGGTGGACTGTGTGCTCGTTTGTCACCTTATCCTATAAAAAAAAAACCATGCTCTTGTATTCTCTGAGTGATAGACTTAAAAATTTCGATATCAGCAATAGAACCAGAGTAACCGACATAGCCCATCGGATTGGTAAACTGAAGAGAAAATGGGCCAGCCATATAGCTCGAAGTACCGATAACCGATGGGGTAGACAGGTTTTCGAGTAGTAGCCTCGTACCGGTAGACGAATCGCGGCCCACCACTAGATGGAGAAAGTCAATGGATGCAAGCTCAGGACCGAACATTGTGGCATTCCTTGGGGGAGGTCTATATTCAGCAGTGTACTTTTGTGGGGCTGTAATGATGTAGATAGCTCTAAGCACCTATTAACTGATACCGATGGAGGTATTGACGTAAATAAGAGATTTTTGAAACCAATAATAATAAGCATATATTAAGGGTAATAACTTTTAAAATAAAAAAAATTCGCAATTGATGTGCAATGATATATTAAATTATAGGCCACGGTATAGGCGAGTTAAGCTGTGCTTATGCGGACGAGTGCTTGACAGCTGAAGAAGCGATCTTGTCGGCATATTATTGTGGTTTAGCTTTAACTGAGGTGCCTACAGTGAAAGGATCAATGGCAGCAGTAAACTTGGGGTATAAAAAGGTAATTTCGTGACATCTTTATTAAATTGTTAAGATACAATGAACTTTAAGAATAACGTTTTTAAGTATTAAAGTTAACTGTACAGTTTGATGCGTTATGATTACATTCCTTATTGTAGATGAAGGATGAATGTCCACCAGAACTGGACATAGCTTATCACAATGGACCCCGCTCTAGTGTAGTCTCGGGCCCCGCTAACATTGTGGAGAATTTCGTAAACAAGCTAACTTCACAAGGCACTTTAGCTGAAGAAATTTCCTGTTCGAATGTAGCTTGCCATTCACGATACATTTCTGAAGCGAGTAAGTTAATAACAAAACTTTTTGTATCAACTCTTATAAGCTTGATATGAGTGTCAGGCACATACAGTATCTAACGAACAACCCGATGATCCTTTTAGGAACATATAGATGACAAAGGCATGATATTTATGACTGTGAATTATATTTATCGCTACCGTTACAGACTATTAAAGCCCACTGCTGAGAACTCATAAAGGGATGCCATAGTTGCCATACTTCGCAAGCGGGTTGGCAGCTGGAGTTTTATTTTAAGTCGTTATTAGGAAAATGCTGCTGTCCATCTCCTGATTTGTTTCTCTCTCTCTCTCTCTCTCTCTCACTGACACCGACGAGATGATATGGGGTAGTGGATATTCTAATAGCGCCACTACGCGATAATTTTTTGGTCGTTATTAAACGAATTAAAGTGTACACAATAGATAAATTATTTGATTCAAACTTATAAAAAAATGTTACTCACAACTGAAGTAACTGACAGGCGCATCGATAAAGCGGAGACTTGTATATTCTTACTTCCCGGCCAATGCAGAGGTAATAAACCCACATGCAATTTGCAAAGAAAAAATTATTCAAATTTAATTTGATTTTTTATGGTAGAGATTTCTGAAATGAAGTTAGTTCTATACGTTTGAATATTGATTCTGATAACGCACTTAACAGGAACCACAAGATTTTTGTTACCTGTTCTATAAATCAAAAGTAACAACGATAAAGTCTTTTCATTTAGATACTTAATCTATTTAATAAAAAAGAATCTTTAAAATTGGGTCTCAATCGGCGAAGTTATCGCGTAACGTACATACAAAAAAATATTATTCGAATTGTGAATATTTTTGTTGAAATTGGCTAAAAAATGGAAAAATTACGTTGATTTCAGTTTTGGTGCTTAACAAAACAATATTTCGTCTGTACTGTATATAAGAGATAGCAGTGTATCTATGATGAATAAAAGAGAGAAGTGTACTAAAATAATAAAACGAGATGAAATAGGGTTTCGGTTCATATAAAGAGGCACCAAGATGAAAATAATATATAATATTATGTAGATCCATTTTTATTTAAGAAAAGTGTGTCTCTTTATTTCGGCTAAGTAATGCTCAAAAATATTCCAATAGGTTCTAAACTCACGCAGTCCCTCAAAGAAGTAATCTTGGAACCAAGAACTCGTTCGAATCGCTGGCTCTCTACCTCTGTCGCTCGAAGTTGTTGGAATGAGCCCAAGGCTACTGAAGCGTCACCAGAATACTTCACCAATAACCTTCTGGTAATAATTCCACCTATTTTGTTAATTTTGGGAGGAAGATTAGGATTTTTTAATGTAGAATAAGGGTGACAAACGTGCCGTGGCCCATAAACATCTATCATTTATCCTCATTTAAGGATCAAAATACAGATGTGTTGTCACACCTGAGGGCTAAAATAGAATGCCTCGTTTCCAGTAATAAGGGGTCTCTCGTTTTCCACACCTACCGTACGAAACACAACAGCATTATTCCACTATTTTAAGCTGGTGTTCTGTGAGAGCGTGGTCCTTCGCGGATCGAGCCGATCCAATCGTGCTACAACCATAATATAACTGTAACGTGGCTCTACTACGTAAAGAGAAGAATATGGAGAAAACACACCATTTAATTGTTTACGCGGATCATTTCTTAGGGTGCGTACAGATTAAGTAACATGTTGTATAACTTTTGTTTTATAACACGTCCACATTATGTAACTTTATTTTTCTACATTGCAACATTTAACAATACTGTACACATTAGAATAACAATTCAATATAACAATGTTATATGACATTGTCGTTTGTTGTTGCCCCGCGCGACGCCTTCGTCGCATCTCGAGTTATATAAAATTAGTTTTATAACATTCAGCTTCCAAATTACTAAAACATGTTATATAACAAACATGTAATGTTATATAATGTGTACGCACCGTTTTCAATACATCCTATCAAAAGTCCACCGATGAAGATAGTCTCCATATATTTCTTCATAAGAGGTATATTTATCATAGCTGTCACACTTGGCAGGCGAGTTAGCCGTATAGAGTTGTTATCAGGAAGATGCTGCTGTCCATCTTATGTTTCATTTGTCTCTGCAGCTTTTTACAACACTCACAAAATGATATGGGGTAGTGAATTCTTGCACGCCTCAACCACAAAGTTTTGTATCTTTAATATTATGAATTTCCGCAACGTAACGTCTGATTATGTTGATTGTGTAAATGTAATAATTTATCTTGTCGCCCGTTGTCTGAAAATCAAGAGAAGGACTTCACCTGCCGTAAAATTTTAACAAATTGCCTAAGTCATATAACTTCTTTTTGATCTTGGAGCTTGATGAAATTAGATTGCTTACTCTGGTTTTGTATGTTTATACCAAAAGAATAATAGAAAATTTTGTACAACAGAATCCAGTTCTCTTCGAAGAAACATCGAGGCTGATAGAAGATAATGCTATAGTAATAGAAATAGCACCTCATGGAGTTCTATGTAAATCTCTCGGTCAACCATACAAGGATCTACTCACGGTTGAACTATCACAAATGGATTCTAAAGATAACGTTCAAGTTTTACTTACTGCTTTAGGAAGGTATGCAAATTTTGTTTTATCCTATATGATGGAAAAGATTTCGTTACACAAAACCGTAGGACTCATTTCAACTAGATATCCGTTTGGGTTTGTATCACCTTGTTATTTATTTTCGCCAAGTAGCTGTATCACAGTAGTGTAGAAATCTAGTGTTGCATGCATCTACCGGCTTTCTTTATTTAAAGTTAAATGTAGCGGGATTAGTCTAGTTCAGTTTTTACAATCGTAAACGCTAAAACATATCTATAAAAAATGAACAGGAATGACGTAATATCTTAACATTAAGTCGCATGAAACTATTGTGAACTAATTCATTTGATTTTATTAATTTCACAGGGCACAGTCGCCAATTATAAATAAGTCAATTTGCAACAAAAAAAAAAATTGTTGCGGCCATCTCTAAACTGCCATTCTGAATTCCAACACATTGTTTTAGACCACTAAAGTGAAATTTTAATAAATATTTTTTTATTTTTTAAATAAAATAATACATTTATTTATTGGGTCATTAAAGTTCCGTTTGTAATATTCCCTACAATATCTATGCAAAGCAAAATAGGAAGCCGATCAATGATATTAGATTTTTAATTGTTTCTTGTTTGAAAACATATTTTAATTATAATAATAATTCTAATTAATTAATTTAACAGGTTATACGAAGCTGGTTTGAACTTAAATTTAGCAAATCTCTACCCACAAATTAAATTTCCTGTTTCACAAGAGACCCCTATGCTATCGCATCTAGTGGAATGGGAGCACAGAGAAAATTGGTAAGGGACAATTTAAAGTTGTATATATACCTTTTTTCTTGCATTGAAACTTATTTTATTTATCTAACATTTTGATTAGATAATGATTGCTCAAATAAAGTCAATTTGAAACAGCTTGACTAGTTTACTTTAGCTATTTACATAGCATAATGTCGTATGGTATTTTACTATGGGGACACGCAGCTGACACTGAAATTATATTTGTTTTACAGAAGAGGGCCATAAGAGCAATCTTTGATTTAAAGCTTAAAGAGTCGCTGCGACAAAAATTTAAAGAAATTAATATATTAACTTTGGCCTCACAATACATTTATGAAAATGTAATGTACGTACACAAAAATAAAAGTAGTTTTACAAAAATAAGTGACATTCATTCTGTAAATACTGGAAACAGACACAAGTTAGTAGTACCAGTTACTCGACTCTATCGAGTCAGTAACTCATTCTTGGGGCGATTTATACGCTTTTACAACAAAATTCCAGAAAATATACAAAGTTTGACCTGCTCAAAGTTCAAAAACTTTATTAAACTAAGTTTGTATAAAAAGGGTTATTATAATATTAAATAATTTATAGATGATATTAACCCCTAGAAATGAGGTGATCGCTACCAAGCTATTTCGAATTTGTTGTATTGTTAATTTGTGTAACATACATGATTGTAAGCTGTTATTTAAAAAAAAAGTCCCGCTGGGTTTCTTGCTGGTTCTTCCCAGGACAGAGGTTTTTTTTTCGAAGCAGTGTTATTAAGCAAAAGAGTGACTTTCAATAAGTATTATTTATAATCTATATTGAATAAAAAGTTTCTGTTCTGTTCTGTTCTGAAGCGGCTACCATGCAGGCGAAGTATCTACACAGAGTACTTTAGAGCAATTAAAGTTGTCACGAGTTGCCATTTTCTTCACAAGATATTATATAGAAAATGGTAAAATTCAACCAGCTCTAGATTAAAATCAATTAAGATCTCAAAATTCATTAGATGAAGCTCCGTGGCACGGCGCCTTAGCAATGACTTACGGCATTTAGAGTCGCGTGATCGAAACCTGCACGGAACAAGTATTTGTATGGCCTACAAGTAATTGTTTTGGGTATGGATGTTAGAGAAAACATTAAGAAGCTGCAGTTGCAGATACTTAAGCGAGATATCTTTTTTAAAGCCAATAAAAGTCTATTGCTTAACATAGGCCTCCCCATAGATTTCCTCATGGGGGGAATTTTACCATAGTTGCCACAATTGGCAGGCGGGTTGTCAACAGCAATCTTTAATAATTTTGAACATCTGTTTCAGTTTCCCTCTGTCACCTCTTACGTCACCCACGGACGATATCACAAGTTTAAATATTTACAGATCAGTACCTGTTCTTATGTCTGAAGTGTCTTTCCACAAATATACAAATTAAAAACTCTAAAAGTTAATAAAAAAACCAGTACAAAACAGGTTACGTTGTAAATTATTCTAAGCATGTGCCAAAACTAATAAAAAATATGGGTTATGAACACTATATTATGGTAAATATAAAAGTAATTTAAAATTGTCTTGTCTATTTTTCGTTTTTAAACCGTGCTAAAATTTTTAACTCAATACTATTTGAGCAAGGTAATCATACGTTTTGTGCCTACCTTTACCACCTGCAAAATCTGTAACAAAACTTTCCATTCTTGCTTGCAGGGACTACATATCATATAAAACTCAGAAAAAATTGAATACAGGTGAAAGAACAGTAAAAGTGTGTATTACTGATGAAGACAAGGAATATATAACTGGTCACTGTATAGACGGTAAATTTTGTCTTAAGATAGATTTTTTTTTTTAATAGGAGAGGGGGCAAACGAGCATGCGGCTCACCTGATGGTAAGTGACTACCGCCGCCCATGAACAACCGCAACACCAGGAGAATTGCAGATGCGTTGCCGGCCTTTTAAAAAGGAGTAGGCTTTTTTATGGAAGAGGGGGCAAACGAGCATGCTAGACAATTAGCATCAGGTGAGCTGATGCTAATTGTCTACCGCCGCCCATAAACAACTGCAATACCAGGGGAATCAGGGGAATTGAAGATGCGTTGCCGGCCTTTTAAAAAGGAGTAGGCTCTGTTCTTGAAGATCCTTAAGTCGTCTCGATCCGGAAAAATCGCTGGTGGTAATCGATTCCACAAGGAAGTTGTACTAGGAAGAAAACATCTTCTAAATCGCACAGTGGTGGACCGCCAATCATCCAGATGGTGTGGATGGTATAGTTCTTTTAGGAAGTAAATTTTAAAAGTTAAGGTCTTAAATTTTAAAAAGAATTATGATGAATTATGACACCATGCTCATGCATGGTGTGCATGAAAAGAAGTACAATATCTATTTCTTTTTATAAAATAGAAGTGACGAGAGAAATTATTAGGTGGTAAGACTCCTTCTACGCCTAGGAGTAGGTATGGTACGTTTCCTATTTCTGCCGCTAACGGTGCTTGTACTACTGTGTTTCAGATTGATAGGTACAGGGAGTCAATAAAATTACAGCCTGTGACGCATTCCATCTTAGTTTTTAGTCTATACGTGGTAGAGCCATGCTACAGCTATATTAGTAGTAAAGTTGTAGTACGAATGGGTCGGATCGACCGGGAAAGTACCATGCTCTCACAGAACCAGCGTAAAATAGTTTAATGCTGCTGTGTTTCTTATGGTGAGTGTGGAGAACCGGAGACCCGTTTTATTGGAAATGAGGCATTCCATCTTAGTCCTCACGGGTGACAACGCATCTGAATTTTGATTTGTAATAGAGGATAGATATAGATGTCTATGGGCTGCAGCAACCACTTACCATCAGGTGGACTGCGTGCTCGTTTGTCACCCTTATCCTATAAAAAAAATAGAACCAGTAGTTCGTTTATCACGTCAGTTTTATATAAAAAAAAATTGTATACTCGCTTGTTACCCTTGTTATATAATAATTTAAAATTCATCACGTTACACCGTGATCAAATATATGTGGGACTACATGAAAAGCACCAGCTTTCAAATAAAAAAAGAATCATCGAAATGGGTTGACTCAGAAAAAAGTTATGAGGTAACACGTAAAAAAACATACAGTCGAATTGAGTACCTCCTCCTTTTTTAAATCGTTAGAAAAAAGTAAATAATGCCTAATTTTCATACAAATTACAGGTCGTATATTATACCCTGGTACGGGTTATTTAATATTAGTATGGGAGACTTTTGCCTTGATGAGAGGCAAGGTCTATAATGAACTGTCGGTTGTGTTCGAGGATATACGACTGCACAGGGCAACTACCATACCTAAGCAAGGAAATCTGGAATTCATCATTACCATTCATAAGGAAAGCGGTGAATTCGAGGTGAATATGATTTGATTTAAATGTTGGTTGGAACTAATTTTACTGATTTTATTGCGTTAAAATTTAACTTTTTTTAATGGTCGACGATTCCGGAGCTTTACAGCACGGTTACGGTGGACTTATGGACTAAGGTGCTTGATGTTCTGATATTCAGTTAATGAAGACTACCTTCAGCTTTTAAATAAAAAAAATTGATCCAATCTTCACAGAACAGCTTACAGTATCTTGATGTCATGAAGTAGTATTTGGATTTAATTTAATTAATTATGGGATCCCAATTAGGTGGTAGCATCCAGCCATCTTCACTATTGAATTTAGAATGTGGTTTTTTTTTTAATTTCATTAGTCTCAGAAATCATGCTTGTTACGAATCAGTGTTCTTATGCGAGGATTTAAGGTATATCAAATCTGATGTTATGGTTGCGATGAATAGGATCATGTAAGACCCATGGCATTAAATTGGGTTACGGATTCTCATACGCCGGCATCATACGGCAGTCCAATATTAATGACATTAATCTTTAAATTACAGCTTTCGGAAAACTCAAATACTGTAGCAACAGGTCGTATTTACTCCAAGGAAAATGTAGGCGAAGATTTCGTGGAGCTCCCTCCACTATCCGATGTAGAAGACAGTAACCTTCTGCGATTGACGACCAAAGATTTTTATAAGGAATTAAGACTTCGAGGATATCAACACAGGTAATATAGAATGATAAATAATATTTTAGATTGACGTGGGTAGCAGCCGGTAGGCTGCATTGGAATGGTTAAAATAATTTTTGCCCTTATTACTTTAGCTATGCTTGCCCACTATTCCACCAGATTTTAGTATGTGGTGTAGTCGAAGACAGTGTGCACTGACATAGCTTGATTAAATTACTAACTATTCACTCTGACCTTGAGGACGTCCATATTGATATCGGGTGAAACAACCGACACTGGCAAATTATTCCACTCTTTTACTGTACGCATTTCGAATTACAAAACAAATTGGATCGTTTCGACTACACTCAAACATTATAATATTTATTAGTTATGATTAATGTCGAAATATTTGAAGTGTTTATCTTGAACATCTATACACTTTTCTATACGTATCTCAAGAGTTTAGAAATTCTAAGTAGCCAGTGCGCCTTCTTTGATTTCATGCCTCTTGTTTTTTAATTTTTCTTTGATTATTCAAAACAGTTTAAAATTAAAAGGTGCTAGGACAAGGGTATTCTCATGATGGGTAAAGTAAGACACATTTAAGAATTAAAAAAAAAACTCGGGTGTCCTGGTTGACATTGCGATGTTTCATTTGAGTGGTGCTAGAAACGGTGTCGACAGGTAATCTGAAACCAATTAAAAACTGTCGCTTGTGGACAATTACACTAATCAAAAGTAGTAGCCGAAATTTTAAAACATTTCTAGGCCTTTAAACCTTCTTTTCATTTCATAGTAAATTTATAATGCAACTTTCCAATTTTATTGTAACGGTGTAACAAATAACTACACTTTACTCTTACGTAACGACATCTGGTGAGCTACGTATTTACAACACGCACATATACGTTCCATTTTATATGTTAACAAAATTGTAATTTCTTTTTCAGTGGTCTTTTCCGTGGCATTCTGGACTGCAATGTTGAAAGTACTCACGGTCGTGTCATATGGAACAACAACTGGGTAGTTTTCCTGGACTACATGCTTCAAATGAACATCATCGCATACGATAGTCGCGATCTCTATCTTCCAACGTTTATAAAAAAACTGTCCATCGACGTGCAAATGCACTATGATACTGTTGCAAAACTAAACTCTGAATTGTCAAGGGAACAGTTTATTGACGTACGCTTTGATCGCGATATGAATATAACAAGGTATTATTTAAAGTATTTGCAAAATAAATTGCATTTAATATTATTTAGATTACTTCGGATTTTCGTTTTATTAAATTTTCAACCGAATTCAAAAAAAGGAGGAGGTTCTCAATTTTGTGTGTGTTACCTCAAAACGTTATCTAGGTCAACCGATTTTGATGATTTTTTATTTAAAAGTTGGTGCTTCTCGTGTAAATTTGATCATATGTCATATAACTTTGATAACGATCTGACCAGTAGTTTTTGAGTTATCCTTAATAATGCGTATTTAATTTACTTCGACTACATTAATACTTATGTTCTCATTTTACGTATATTGAAGTTGGTTGCACACAATTTTTAATTTTACCACTTCTATCAGTCTCAAATTTAGTAAGTAGTAGACACAAAGTAAGCTTTCGTTAAGTGTAAAATGTTGCAATAAATATTTATACATTTGAAAAAAAAAAAACGTAATTAAGAAAAACAATACATTATGTTATATAATAAAAATAACTTGAAAGTAATTTTATCTCATCTGTTATTTACCTGATTATTGTTTCAGATCTGGTGGCGTAGATTTATCAGGTCTTCAAATGACACCTGTACTGAAAAAACCTTCTTCTGTAGGTGCTCCTATCATGGAATCATATAAATTTGTGCCAAATTTTGGACAACATATTATGCAGGTATTTTGATATTATCTTTATCTGCCGTTAGGAACATTGGGACCAATTAACTATGTTCATGTTATATTTGACTAATTTCAATTTGCAGCTACAAGAAGCCATTAATGTGCATACGCAACTCATCCATGAAAATGTTCAAACTTTTAAAATCAAATGCGTAGAATTAGTTGATGAAGAATATTCTAAGCGAAAATATACTCCAATAATCGAGATTGTGGCTAACTGCCTTGATACTCTTCCTCTTATACAATCCGAATTGATTATCGTATCAAATGAATCTATCGAAGTATCTCCGAGAGTAAAAGTTGAAAAAAAGAAAGAGGCGGCTGACAATGCAACACTGTGTATTGGTGCTAACTTACTTCAAAGAACTGACGTAAGTTCGATGTTTCCTATATTACTATTAAAATTATCATAAAAATCCATTTTAATTACGTTATGGTGCAAAACGTCAGTAACTTATTTAATCCTATGTTCATGTTCAAGAAAAAGTGGTGTGAACTATCAAAATTTTATTACCACGTTTTTAACTCGCTTTCGTGTATGTCTGTTTGGGTCGAATTTAGTGTCTGTGAACTAGAGATTTGAAATTTTGAACATGTAAGACATCATGTCGGATGAAAATGCAAGATTACAAAAAAAAGTTTTTAGTCCGTTTTAAAACGTGGTATATTAAAAAAAAAACCTCAATCATTATTAATTTAAAATCTAAACCAAAAATTCTAGAATAATGCGTACATACACGTAGTATAAATATTAAATTTTCAAACAGGTGCTTGATCAATATGCTGCCATGCTTAGAGGAAAAGGATTCATTTTAAGTCGCGAAGCAATCTTTCCAGACGTGAATGCATATCTTTACAAATACAATATTGTGTCGGCATATGAAATCGACACGGAAGTTTTGGTTTTAATCAGACCTAAGTTTAATGTTAACATTGGAAAATGTATACGTATTGGAATGGAAGATGAAAATTATTCTTGGATTGAAAAAGTGAAGGAGTGTATTAATGCTAATGAAAAAGTTATACTTTACGCACAAAATGAAATATATAATGGAATTCTGGGTCTCGTGAACTGTTTAAGACGTGAAGCAGGCGGTGATTTGATACAAGGCTACCTGATTGCCGATGAATCAAAACCGAATTTCAATCCAAATATAGAATATTATAAACAACAATTGAACAAAGATCTAGCTATGAATGTATTCAAAAACGTGAGTTTTATTGTTATTGCTTGTTATTGTTAAAATTTATATTAAATATTATAAATTTTCGTCATCATTACATCATTACAGCCTTTCACAAGTCCACAGCTGAACATAGGCCTCCCCAAGGAATGCCACAAAGCACGGTCCTGAGCCACTTGTATCCATCAACTTCCTGCATGTCTTACCAGGTCGTCACTCCATCTAGTGGGCGACGGACCTACTCTTCGCTTAATGGTACAAGGCTGCCACTCGGAAACCTTTCATTCCTATCAGTTGTCGGTTCTTCTCGCTATATGTCCAACCCGTTGCCACTTCAGCTTTGCCATTAACACGTTATGAAATTACAAAGTAATTAATTTTAATATTTAAATAAATGGAAACAATATTAGTAAAATGTTTTTACAGGGACAATGGGGTACCTATCGCCACGTACAGTTAATAGGACTGGAAAAAACTTCTCCGGTTCCTCATGCATATGTAAATGTTCAGAATATTGGTGATCTATCATCACTACGGTGGTTTGAAGGACCTCTTGGAGTGAAGCTATCCAGTAAACAGGATAATGTATCATTGGTTAATGTAAGTATCCTATAATATCAGATATATATACTGTGTATTTTTTTCGCGGAAAAAGAATTACATCTCTCTCCTCGCTCGTATATATTATAGGAAAAGAAACTCGCTAGTATATACAGGAAAAATATCCAGAGTGAGGTAAAGTCTTTTTTTAATGTTTTATATTTTAGGTACACTGTTCAGCGTTGAATTTCCGCGATGTCATGACAGCGACGGGTCGTGTAACAGTGGATGCTGTAGCACGTGGCAGACTTGAGCAGGACTGTGTGCAAGGGATTGAAATCAGTGGACAAACCGCTAAGTATATACTTATCAATTTTTATTATGTTAAATTAAAATTTACATGAGAGCTCCGTGGGCAGTAGCATCCTTCAACTTCCTGTATATTTTATTTTTTTATTTTATCTAAGCTGCCACTCGAGTATTTTTCTCTCCCAATTTCTGTATGTAAATGTAATATAAGTTTTTTTTCAGCGGCTCTCGCATTGCGGCTATGGCACACTGTGGCATTTCTAACCTCATCAGCCTTAGTGACAATCTCGTATGTAATATCCCAAATGAATGGAGTTATGAGGAGGGCGCTACAATTCCAGTTGCTTACGCTACGTCTTATATGGCTATGGTAAGTAGAAATCTATTTTATTACTACTTTTTAGCACGCTTTTATTGGCTTCGCGTGTATCTATCTGCCTATCTATGTAACGGAATCTTTTAATGTAATTTTCACCAATTTGTAGACTTCAAATTGACTTGAAAATTTGTACTTGTATCAAGGACAGATGACAATATAATAATTTAATAAATTTATCCTAGTATCCTGATAAGGAAAACACTTTATTTGAAAAAAGTTCCTTTCGTAGTATATTATTATTAATAAACTTATTATATTATTGGAACGAAGTTCCTTATCGCACGGTACATACTTGGCGGATGGGGGCTAGGCAAAAAAAGTTGAAGAAGAGTTTTCCGTCACGATCTTGGGGGCTATAAGGAAGCGAGATAGAATAATATCCATCACCCTCGCACTTTTTCTTATCTTGTCTTGTGACGCTACGCTTAATCAAGGATTAATGTGGATGTCTATGGGCCACACCATCCATTTACATTAGAGAGATTACTGTGTTGAGCATACATACACCTTAGCCACCCTTATTCTATATACACACATTGTATTAATATGGCAAGACATATGGACTAACCATTCAAATTGTTGAACGCATTGCAAACGAAAAGTAGAACTTGATAAAGATGATAACAAAGTACATTAAGTGACACTTTACAGTCACACTGCTAAGCAGCAGCCTACTCTTATTTATATGGGGTTTATGGAAAATTCAGCCGTTTGACGGATCCTTTGCGCTTCGGCTTAGCAATGAGTTGCAGCGCTGAGGGCCTCGGGTTCGTGTGGCATTTGTATGGCCTAAAAATAATTATTCCGATTCCTTGTGAAATTCATGTACGTAAACTGCCCCCACAGTACAGAAGAAAATCCTAGTCTGGATGTATCAATTATTTTTAAATCATTAAAAAACGATTTAAGTTATTTAAAAGCCGCTCTGCAACATAGCGTGTTGGCGGACTTCATACTGGGAGAATTATATTTTAGTTTTAGGCATGGAAACTTCCTTGTCATGCTTTTATCACCGTCGATCATCTAGTATAAAAAATTATCTTTAATTTTAGGTGATAATTGGAAAAATAAAACCCGGGGAATCAATTCTAATACACGCTGGTACGGGTGGCGTAGGACAGGCCGCTATTAACTTAGCGTTCCATATTGGATGTGAAGTTTTCACTACGGTTGGCACTCCTGCTAAAAGAGACTTCATCAAAAAGCTATTTCCGCAGCTGAAAGGTAATATTGAAATCACTTACTGTTGTGAATTTATTATCATCATCATTACAGCCCTTCACAAGTCCACTGCTGAACATAGGCCTCCCCTAAGGAATGCCACAAAGCACGGTCCTGAGCCACCTGCATCCATCGACTTCCTGCGTGTCTTACCAGGTACCAATTTTTAATTAAGTATAATTTATGTATTGATTAATTTCTCAAATTGTTCCAAATTATTTTTATCGTTACATCCTATCAAAAAACCACTACTAAACAATGGGAGAACAAGGGGATCTCCCCTTGTCATAGTTGGCTTTGACGCTTGGCGGGCGGGTTGGCAACCGCAGTTTATTTCTTTTATTTTTTTGTTATGATTAGGAAGGCGCTGTCCATCTCCTGGTCTCGTTTCCGTCTCCAGCATTAAGCTGCTGTTTTACGCTGGTATTCTGTGAGAGCTTTGACATTCGGAAGTCGAGCCGACATATTCGTGCTTCGACTTATTCTTCGAATAATATTAAATGCAGTGTGACTCTACTCCATAAAAATAACACATTAAATATTAATAAGATTATCATACTATGATTCCTAATTTAAAATGACACTATCTGATGGGGTAAGATAGGGCTATACAAATCCTATATTAATACTATACAAATCCTATATACTAAAGTTGGAAAAATTTACTTTACCAATATATGCTCAATAAAATAAAATGATGTGTCTTACCTAGTATGAAGAGCACCTCCCGCCCTCCCTCAATTGCGTGCACTATCCCCGTCACCACTAATCCCAGCACCGCTACTCCCACCACCACTACACTAGGAAAGACACACCACCGACGATAAAACGACACTCATTTCGCCTCTACACGAGGCACCCGCGGGTGATTCTATTAATTATCCCATGTTTATAATTTTAATTTAATAAATAGATAAATATAATATAATTTATTACAAATATTTTTTATTTCCATTTTATATACTTATTTTTTTAATTTACACATTAATGATGATATTTTTTTTAAACGCAGATAGTCACATTGGTAATTCACGAGATGTTTCCTTCGAAGAAATGGTACGAAGGGAAACCAATGGCAAGGGCGTAGACTTAGTGCTGAATTCGTTGGCGGAAGAAAAACTATTGGTGAGGCATTTTGAATATATTATATGTATACATGATTGATGTAACATACTAAAAAGATCTTCGACCATAATTCCTATCTTTAAAACTAACAATATTTGTTTTGCGACTTTCTTTAAACCCTCAATACTCTTCGAAAAAATCAATGTTATACCTATTTTGTAAATTCTGCATATTCACTACTCTACATCTTTTTAGTTGCTTTTTTTATTTATTAAAAATGTAACCTCCTCAGTATGATTTTGTCCTGTATCGCGGAGACAAGTTACATAAATAAATTGCATAAGGACAAACATCCAGTCCCGAGATTCCGTGCGGGATTCGAACCCGCGCCAACTCGATGTTAAGCCACTGCGCCACGGAGGCGTCGTACTCCCTGACGTACTTCGCACGATGCTGCAGTATTTTAACATTACATACTTACTTATCTTCACGCACAATCCCTAACGGGGTAGCCAGAGAGAACAGATCGCCAAGTGTCACGATCCTTACAAACCTCTTTCGCTTCTTTCAGATTCATTATCTTCTTCATGCATGCACGTCTAGGTATCCGAGTACTCTTGACCCTACCCTCTTCGAGCAATTTGCTCACATGGTCTTCGAAAGTTAGTCTCGGTCTACCTCGACACCTTTTAATATTAAATTTCGCGCTATATATTTTATTCACCATTCGGTCTTCACTCATTCGCTCAACGTGCCCAAACCACCGAAGCACGCCCTTATCAATTTTTGTGATAAGGTCATCTTTCAAACCTGCCATATTGCGAATCTCTTCGTTTCGCTTTCGGTCGGCCATAGTAACGCCGCACATTTTACGAAGTTATAATATACAGAGTAATATAATATTTGATATTACTCTGTATGTTATGTGATATTTTTATTTTATACATATGGAAATTTTTATTAGCGAATTTGAAAAACTAAAGACGTTGGTTTTTGTATAGGCATTACGTTCTTAGAGATTTGTGAACTGTTAGTCATACATAAAGGTATATTTCTTTAAAATATTTTTGACTTGTTGATATGAGCAAAAACAAGATTATTATATTCTTTTCTTTTTATTCAGGCATCGGTCCGTTGTCTCGGTTATCGAGGTCGTTTCTTGGAAATTGGTAAATTTGATATCAGTAAGAATACGCAGGTCGATATGCACGCGTATCACCAAGAGATCTCCTTCCACGGGATTATGCTTGACTACATTCTTGACAAGGAAAACTACAGATTGAGACAGGTAATTTAAATTTTATGTTAGCTTTCACAGCAATCTAAGCTACTATTAGTATTTTCTAACGTTACGTTATTATTTGTATTCACATTATATTCGTGTATTTTATGTAATAGGTATTCGATATGTAATAAAATATTGTTTAATTTCTCAATATTTATTTATTATTGTACTCTTTTTAATTTTAATTGGACTAGTTATATTATGTTTAGATTGTTATAAGAAACAAGGCGCCAAGGTCCAATTGTGAATTTTAACCACTCAGGTACGCACTTAAACATACGCAAATAATAAGGAGGAGTTCAGTGACAAATACGTATCTACATATTATTTGTAGGCCATACAAATACTTGTTCCGTACGGGATTCGAACCCGCGGCCCCCAGCGCAACAACTGATTGCTAAGCTACTGCGCCACGGAGCCGCCAAAATATATGTACGTATATATGTGTATATATATATATATATATATATATATATATTATATATATATATACGTACATATATATGCCGGCAGTGAGAAACTCAGCGGGACTTTCTTCCACAGTGATATTACTTACACATATATATATAAATATATAGTCACTATGGAAGAAAATCCTTTTTATTAGAACTCATTCACTCCATTTCAAACTCCCGAAACCAGAATAACGCTATCGAATGGTGGTTTGGATTGGAATTATTAGAACGAACGTTTTCATCTGTCCGTTGCTATATTGCGTTTGTAATCTCAAGTAATGAAAATGCATTTTCTTGATGTCCTATTTATTGAATAAAATATTTAAGAATGAATTTTTAATTGCTAATGCTCTCTGGATAATCAAAAAATTTGAATGCGTCTCTCGGCGCTGATAATTCTTGATCGTAACTCGATCGTGTTTTCAATTCGAACTGATTCGGGAGTAAGCTTTAAAAATCATGTTCGAAACCACGTCATTTTGAATCGAAAACCATATCGAATTCGGAAACAATTACGGGAGTAAGCCGTTTGATTATTTCCAGGGCTGAAGGTTTTGTTTCCGAACCAGTGCACTAGGAAAAATATTTTCAATGAGAATAATTTATTAATCTATATTAAGTACAAAAGTATTTTATTCTTTTTTATAACAGCTATACACTACACATAATAATACATACTTATTTTTTATATTTACGAGAACACTATCGGTTTAATTAAGTTATTTTTATTAAATTGCCGACGTTTCGGGTGCTTTACAGCACCCATGGTCACGGGGGAGTGAGGTGATGAATATCCGGATGCCTTCAAGACACAGGTTCATTCTGCGTAGATCGGACCAAAAAAAATAATTAAAAAATCTGAAAATACTCCGGGTTGACCTGACATCTGGACGTCAATCACCTCAGTCCCCCATGACCATGGGTTCTTTAAAGCACCCGAAACGTCAGGAATTTAAGAAAAATAAGTTAATTAAACGCAATAGATTCCGTAAAAGTAGTTTTATTCAACAATCATGCTTTTGTGTTTTACTCCATTTAATCAGACAAATACCCCCCTATGAATGACAGTAACAAAAAAACGGCCCCCAGTCTCCGGCGGCCCCGCTATTCCTGGCTACGGTGGCGACCATGGTAACGGCGGGGCAGGGGGTGCTAAATATCTCCGGTGGAGGTTCGGTTGCCACCTTAGACGACTCGACCTGGCAACGTACAACGCACGCACCCTGAGGACTGACGAGAAGATCGTGGAGCTGGAAGAAGAGATAGACAAGTTGCGCTGGCATATTATAGGATTATCCGAAGTCCGAAGAGAGGGGGAGGACACGGTAATCCTCGAATCCGGCAACTTGCTCTATCACCGGGAGGGCGACCATCTGTCCCAAGGAGGTGTCGGATTTATCGTCCACAAGTCTCTCGTTAACAACGTTGTAAAGATCGAGAGTGTGTCGACGAGGGTTGCGTACCTTATACTCAGAATCACCAAACGGTATTCGCTGAAGGTCATACAGGTTTACGCACCAACCTCGGCACACCCTGATGAGGAGGTGGAGGAAATGTATGAGGATATCTCTAGAGCCATGCATTCCTCCAAAACCCAATATACGGTGTTAATGGGAGACTTCAATGCAAAACTAGGCACAAGAGAGAACGGTGAGCTGAAAGTAGGGAAATTTGGAATAGGGCAACGGAACCCAAGGGGCCAGCAGCTGGCCGACTTCATGGAGAAAGAGGGACTCTTTATGATGAACTCTTTCTTCCAGAAGCGGCCCCACAGGAAGTGGACCTGGTCGAGCCCCGACGGTTCCACAAAAAATGAGATTGACTTCATTATGACGACCAGACGACAACTGTTCAGTGATGTCTCCGTGATCGCGAGGGTGAAAACTGGTAGCGATCACCGAATGGTTAGAGGCACACTGAACCTAAACGTTAAGTTGGAGAGGTCTCGTCTAATGAAGTCAACGCTCCGTCCCCCTCGTGCTCTGTTCCAAAGTCCCGAAACCTTTCAGCTCGAGTTACAAAACCGTTTTCAGTGCCTGGAAGACTGCAATGAAGTGGACGATATGAATGACAAGCTCGTGGAAACTGTCCATGCGGTCGGAGCTAAGTTCTGCAAGACCCGCCGCAGAAGAACACAAAAACTCTCCGATCACACTCTTAATCTCATGGCTGTTAGACGGGAGATGAAGCTACATTCTTCAACAGACTTGACAGCATACAGGCATCTGAACAGACAGATCTCCAAATGCATGCGGCGGGACTTACGCAACTTCAATAGAGCTCGTATTGAAGAAGCGATCGAGCGGAACCAGGGCTCCAAAATCTTTGCCAGAGATCTGTCTGCCAGAAAGAGCCAACTGTCAAAGCTGAAGACAGAGTGTGGCAGCATCGTTTCCGGGACACCTGAGATTTTGAGTGAGATTGAGAGGTTCTATGGGCAGCTGTACACGTCATCGTTGGAGCCACACGCAAGTGTGAGTAACGACCCAAGAGCGAGTCTCATCCGACACTATTCCGAAGATATCCCGGATGTCAGTCTGAGCGAGATTAGGATGGCTCTCCAGCACCTTAAAAACGGTAAGGCCCCAGGCGAGGATGGAATTACAGCGGAGCTTCTGAAAGCGGGTGGAAGACCGGTACTTGAAGTCCTTCAGAAGCTCTTTAATTCCGTCCTCCATGGTGGCATTACACCGGAGGCGTGGAGCAGAGGTGCGGTGGTCTTGTTCTTCAAGAAAGGTGACAACGCTCTCTTGAAAAACTACAGACCGATTTCCCTTCTGAGCCGCGTCTACGTGCTGTTTTCGAGAGTCATTACGAATCGTCTTGCGCGCAGACTTGACGACTTCCAGCCTCCCGAACAAGCCGGTTTCCGAAAGGGCTTTAGCACCATAGACCACATACATACCCTTCGGCAAATTGTACAGAAGTCCGAGGAGTACAATTTGCCACTATGTCTGGCGTATGTGGACTATGAGAAAGCCTTTGATTCCGTCGAAATTTGGGCGGTGCTGCAGTCCCTCCAGCGGTGCCAAGTTGACTGTCGGTATATCGAAGTGTTGAAGTGCTTGTACAGTAGGGCTACGATGGCTATCCGAGTACAAAACCAGAGTACGAAACCTATCCAATTGCAGAGAGGTGTAAGACAGGGTGACGTCATATCCCCGAAACTCTTCACCGCTGCATTGGAAGACGTTTTCAAGCTTCTGGACTGGAAAGGATACGGTATCAACATCAATGGCGAGTACATCATTCACCTTCGATTTGCCGACGATATAGTCCTTATGGCAGAATCGCTGGAGGACCTAAGCACTATGCTCAATGACCTCAATAGTGTTTCCCAACGGATAGGTCTTAAGATGAATATGGACAAAACTAAGATCATGTTTAATGTCCATGTCACACCTATGCCGGTATTTGTTGGGAACACTAAGCTCGAAGTTGTTGACGAGTATGTTTACCTGGGACAAAAGTCCGACTAGGTAAGTCCAACTTCGACCGAGAGGTCAATCGACGGATTCAACTCGGTTGGGCAGCGTTCGGAAAATTACGGCACATCTTCTCGTCAGGTATACCTCAAACCTTGAAAACGAAACTGTACACCCAGTGCGTGTTGCCAGTGATGACATACGGAACTGAGACGTGGTCCTTCACTGCTGGCCGGATGAGGAAGCTCAAGGTCGCTCAGCGAGCTATGGAGAGGGCTATGCTCGGAGTTTCTCTGCGTGATAAACTTAGGAATGAGGATATCCGCAGTAGAACCAGAGTAACCGACATAGCCCAACGGATTAGTAAGCTGAAGTGGCAATGGGCCGGCCATATAGCTCGAAGAACCGACAACCGATGGGGAAGAAAGGTTCTCGAGTGGCAGCCTCGTACCGGTAGGCGAAGTGTAGGGCGTCCCCCCACGAGATGGAGTGACGACCTGGTAAGACATGCAGGAAGTCGATGGATGCAGGTGGCTCAGGACCGCGCTTTGTGGCATTCTTTGGGGGAGGCCTATGTTCAGCAGTGGACTTGTGAAGGGCTGTAATGATGATGATGATGTATCAGACAATCAGAGCTTAAGCAAATGAATGACACTTTATTCACTAAATAACTTTGCAGTATTTATTAAATACGCCAGACATATTGCTTTCGATAGTGTCGTTCTGTTTAACTTTAATTGAAAAATATTTTGTTCTCTTTTAAAATTTAATTGAGCTATACAACTTTCAAATTTTACTGAAAGCTGTAATTTCAATTAGTACGAGATTAAATAATAAATCACAACAAAGGAAATAGTTTAAAGATTCATATTTTATTATATACAATATTAAAAACTAATTAAACAAAACTATAACTAGTACTTAACTTAATTATCATATAGTCCTACTCCCCGTGGTATCGTGTCAAGAACGCTGGCTGCGTTTCCCCGCTTTATGGCTATACTTAGCGTTTGAGCGAGAAAAGAACCAGCCCTCTTATCACCAGCAGCGACGACCAGTCACGGGTAGAGTTCCTTTAGGAACTTCACCGCACGTGAACGCCACAAACCGGTATCCTCTACAGCAAATAGCACAAATACGAGTATGTAGTCATCTCTCAGAGACTCATATTCACCACTTACTCAGTTCAGCTGCCTCTGATGGCGCGCTGGCTCTAAACGAGGTGTCCCTGAGATGAGAGGCCGTCAAAGTGTCTACGCAAGTAGCATCTCCCACTAGGGCTTTACCTCTCTCCCAAGGGACCAATGTCAAACCGTCGGGTCTCCTGCCATCGTCTCTAAATATTCCACAAGGGTCTAAAACCGATAGAACATTTATAGAGACAAGAGCCCTTCGAATGACATCGTTCAAAGAACCGTACCGTGCAAACCTACCAGCATATTTTACACGAAAGTCCGTGGAGCCCAAACTGGTCAACGCTGCTACCACAGGAGCACTGATGGCGTTGAAAAATCGCTGCTTCTATTCGGATTCCTACGACGATACGTAAGCTTTCTCCATCAAGTAATGTGCCGAGATTACTTAATGGTAAAGCGTGTATCCAGTGACTATATTTCTTAGTCAAAACAGCTAGAAGGCGTGCCTGATCTTAAATCTAGATAATCTAAATAACACCACATTTATATAACCTACCCAGTCATAGCTAAGGTGGTATAGTATGAATTAACATGAATTCATACATAACCTCAGTCACAAATAAAAAAAATATAGTGATACTTATACGATTGTATTATTAATTATTTTAAGCTACTTTTAATCAATATACTTAACCACAGTTTTATTTATTTAAGGAATTACAAAAACTTATTGCGCTCGGAATTCAATCAGGAGCTGTGCGACCGCTTACATTCTGTACATTCGAAAAGTATGAGATCGAATCTGCTTACCGATACATGGCCGCTGGAAAACACATTGGCAAGGTATGCTTAATTTAAGTTTTTCTTCTCAATTAGATCTTCAGCCCTTTTTTGTAGGAACTTATAATCCTGATCGTAAGTGGCTACTGCAGTCTATGGACTTTCTCTATTCAAACAAAGAGAAGTTGCATTGCGTTGCAGATGCGATGCTACAACTGAATACTGGAATTAATATCCTTGAGACCAAAAAATTGCAGTGCAATCAAAACCATTTTTGCAGCACAGGTATTAAGGAGGTAGTATGTACACCTCTACCAGACAGTCTCCAAGGTAAAAAAGGAGGGCAAAAAAGAAAATAAGTCCACGCAGCAGCTGTATGACTTAATAGATCAGCTAGACAGGGAAAGGATCACGCTGTAATAATATTAATATGTAAGCTGCTGTGTTCCGTATGGTGAGTGTACAGAGGCGTAGATTTTTTTACTGGTATTGAGATATTTCGTCTTAGCCCTTTTCCGTATGATAAGTATTGGAGACTCTTTTTTTAGGAGACCTAGCTGGACACCCATTTTACTGGTATTGAAGCTCGGAGCAAGTAAGGTTTATGTCGGACTCGCACTAACTAAAACCTCACCGTGTTTCACCTTCGTCACATATCGGGAGAGCCACTTGAATGCTTTCGCACATAACTGCAAACTCATCAATGCCAGCTGCCTATTGACGGCCTCATTGTCGGAAGAGTACAGTCCCCTATTATATTCTTCTGGCAAAGCGCGCCGATCAACACATCATCTAAGCCAATCCCCGATTTCACAACCTACATATTAGTGGAATGTCGTTACAAATGAGTTATGAGAGATTGGTCTATTTTTGCGTATACTTCATCATCATAAGCAGCAGTGCAGCAGCTTTTAAACAATCTATTGCTAGATTTTGGGATCATCACTGCGCTTGGTAGGTGGAGTGCCAATTACAGTAAAACATTCACAGGCCCACCCCACACTAGTATTTCCTCCTGCATCGTGGAGACAGTTTCCAGAACCGGAAGTATTATGCGTAGGCCATAACAATATTTATTCCGTACGGGATTCGAATCCGCGACTCAGTGCCGCAACCCTATGCTAACCCACTGCGCCAAGAAGCCGACAAAGAAGAACAAGAAGATAACGAGAAGTGCTTTACACATCATCTTATTCTTCTTTATAATGCCTCTTTCATCGGGCTTCAGAGAATTATTGAAGTGAAGGAGGTTCTGAAATTACGAATGCAAAGTACGAAAAGGCTAATATTATATTATATATTTCAGGTTATAATCAAAATTCGTGATGAAGATTCGAAAAATGTTATCAACCCCGTTCCTGTTCTTATTGATGCGCTACCAAGGTTAGAAAAATATATCCCTTAAAATATTTGAACGTAACTATAACATCTTAACTATAATATCTTATCTATAACATCTTTATACTATGTGTATGCCTTTATGTTTGCTCTTTCTAAATTTAGTAAACTTCATCATCATTATCACTACAGCCCTTCACAAGTCCACTGCTGAACATAGGTCTCACCCAAGGAATGCCACAAAGAACGGTCCTGAACCACGTGTATCCGTCGACGTGATGTAAGCTGTGGGATTAGTAAGATGAAGAGGCAATGGGCCGGCCATATAGAACGAAGAACTGATAGTCGACGGGGAAGAAAAAAATGAAGAATTCTCGAGTGGCAGCTTCGTACCGTTAAGCGAAGTGTAGTGCGGTACCCTACTACATGGATTGACGATGCAGGATGTCGATGGACCGCGTATTGTGGCATACCTTGAGGGGGCCCATGTTTAGCAGTGGACTTGTGCAGGACTGTAATGATGATGATGATGATCGATTATTTTTATAGCTTGAATATTTTCTTTTCTCAGGTACATGTGCAGAGGCGATCGTGTTTACATAGTGATCGGTGGACTCGGCGGATTCGGTCTTGAACTTGTAGACTGGCTCATAATGAGAGGTGCTAGGAAGGTCCTCCTCGGATCTAGTAAGGGTGTAAGCAATGGATACCAAACGTTAAGATTAAGGTAAATAATAATTAAATTTCTCTTGATTTCATTATAATTAAGAAACTACTGCACGGTGGTGATGAAAGAGAAGAGAAATCATCGCCCTATTTTATCCCGGGGTTTCATGAGAGGCAACTACAGTAGATCCCAGATTTTTATCTATCTCATGGTAAGAATTCTTTATGGGATAAGTGTGACAAGCGAGCACACAGCTCACCTAATTGGTAAATGGATGCTTTGGCCTATATATGCCTACCACTATCCATAATTATCAATCAAAATGCAGATGTGTTGTCGACACTGAGTACTACGATCGAATGCGTCATTTTTATTAAAAAGGGTCTCCGGTTTTCTATTCTTACCATACGAAACAGCAGCATTAAGCTGCTATTTTCCGCTGGTATTCTGTGGTGGCGTCTTCTTTGTCTAGTCGAGCTGACCCATTCGTGCTACAATTATATAGTTGCAGCGTGGCTCTACCGCGTATAAATTAGTAACGTACACGTACGTATGGTTGTTAAAAACTAAAGTTACAGCTTATATACCTCCCACAGATGGGCACAGGCCTCCTATCATTTCTGAGGGTTTTTAAGGTAAGAAAATGTCCGCGGTGTTGACCACGCAAGTTAGCTAACTTCACATGTCTTCGAAATATTTTTTTCTCTTTTCTCAGACATGTAGGTTTTTTCACGATGTTTTCTTTCCCCGCTGAGCACGAGGAGATCGAACTCAACCTGAGTTCAATCTCCTCGCTTGCGTACTGCGAAATTTACTAAGCCCCCGAACTACAACGGCTCTTCTGAGCTACCACGGCTCTATGCCTTATATGGCTGTACGATTTTGTACGTGGTAGAGATATATTAGTAGTATAGTTGTAGCACAAATGGGTCGGCTTGATCGGGGAAGGACCACGCTCTCACAGAATACCAGCGTAAAATAGCAGCTTAACACTGCTGTTAAAAGCTTTTAAATCTGTAGGTATATAAGTTTAAAATTATTCAAAATATTTTTAGTACCTATATAATGTAAATAAATTTATACTTTTCGCAATTTTTCCTTTATCTGTGCTATAAAGCGTTGCTTCGTACCAAATTTCAAAATTCTGAGTTCACGGGAAGTACCCTGTAGGTTTGGATTCCCTTGCGAATGTCTAAAATTTGGGGCATAAACGGATGTATCTTTTGATTGCATTGGCTGAGAAGTTTGATTTTTTCACAGCTCTAAGGGACCGTAGACTTGAGTATTTGATATGAATTTCAGCTTGATACCTCCACGCGTTCCTGTAAAAAAAGGGTCTTGACAGACAGACAAACAGACAGACAGAGAGACAGACAGACAGACAGACAGACAGACAGACAGACAGACGTGATCCTATAAGGGTTCCGTTTTTTCCTTTTGAGGTACGGAACCCTAAAAAAAGATGTTTAGTCCAGTTACGCCAGAGGTAAATAAAGATTGGCCACAGGGAGCAGCTTCAAATGAGGAAGATATCTGGTGGGTTTCAAACACATGATAATGCAGAAAAAGACGTTACCGCTACAGCCTATCAAAAGTCCACTGATGAACATAGGTCTTCCCCATAGATTGCCTCATCAGGAGGACATTTGCCGTAGTTTCCAGTCTTTGTAAGTGGGTTGTAAACCACTTTTTTTTAAATTTTACTAGTTATTAAGGAAACGCTACTACCAATCCCCTGGAGTGTTTACCTCAGTCGCCTCTTACGACACCCATGGGACTATATGGGGCAGTGGATATTCTTACACCGCCACTGCACAATTGAAGAAGATATTACCAAATAAAACATTTCTAGTTCCAAGTTGATCAAGACGTATAGTGAGAATCTCACTTTGCTCACTTACTGGCTCAAAAAAATTGTACTTTTTTACTTTTGTTTGAAAATAATAAATATCCTAAATTAGTCATTTCCTTAGGTTATGGTCACAATACGGAGCTGATATCAAAATCTCGACCCATGATATTGCAACGGAATCTGGATGCGTAGAAATGCTCAATATGGCGAAGTCAATGGGACCTGTGGAAGCAATATTCAACCTTGCTGCCGTGCTTAGAGATGCCACTTTCGTCCGACAGACCCCGGAGACATTTAAAACCTCATTTAAACCGAAAGCTTTAGCTACGATGCTTCTAGATACACTTTCGCGGAAATTGTGCCCCGAATTACAGTAAGTGCTCAGATATTTTATTTTGTAAATACTCGTAGGTGTGTTAAGAGCGAAAAATCGTGCTCAGTGATCATTGTTTTTTATTAATAAATAAATTCTTTAGAGACAGTAATAGGTACCGAATGGCAGGATGCAGGAGCTCTCAAGGTCGTTTGTCTCTAAGACAAGCATTTTAATCTCACTCGGTGTCCTATAAGAAATATTAGTACTGCTTACAGAGTTGATATAATATTTTTTTCGGCATTTTTAAACGGTATTCGCGCTGAAAGTCATACAGGTTTACGCACCAAACTTGGCACATCTCGATGAGGAGGTGAAGGAAATGTACGAGGATATATCTAGAGCCATGCATTCCTCCAAAACCCACTATACCACATACCAGAAAATTGTACAGAAGTCCGAGGAGTACGATTTGCCACTATGTCTGGCGTATGTGGACTATGAGAAAGCCTTAAGAAAGCGAAACTCGGGCGGTGCTGCAGTCCCGTCAGCGGTGCTACTTTGACTGTCAGTATATCGAAGTGCTGAAGTGTTTGTACAGTAGGGCTACGATGACTATTCGGGTACAGAACCAGAGTAAGAAATCTATCCAACTGCAGAGAGGGGTAAGACAGGGTGACTCATATCCCCGAAACTCTTCACCGCTGCATTGGAAAACGTTGTTAAGCTACCGTACTGGAAAGCAGGCGGTATTAACATCAACGGCGAGTACATCACTTACCATCGATTTGCCGACGATATAGTCCTTATGGCAGAATCGCTTCATTACCTAAGCACTGTGCTCAATGACTTCAATAGTGCCTCCCAACGAATAGGTCTTGAGATGAACATAGACAAAGCAAAGAACATGTATAACGTCCATGTCATACTTATGCCAGTAATTGTTGGGAGTATCAAGCTCGAAGTAGTTGACGAGTATGTTTACCTGGGACAAATTGTCCGACTAGTTAAGTCCAACTTCGACCGCGAGACCAATCGACGGATTCAACTCGGGGAAGCTCAAGGTCGCTCAGCGAGATATGGAGAGAGCTATGCTCGGGGTTTCATGGATGATAAACTTAAAAATGAGGGTATCTCCTCTAATTCCTTTACAGTTACCGCTATACGACTATGGAATTCTCTCCCCTTACATATTAAAGAATCTAAATCTCTTCCTATTTTTAAAAATAAATTAAACTTAATTACCTTTCCTCTTAAGTTACTACCTATCGTCATTCATTTTTTTTTCGTTTAATCACTTATGTTCTTCTATTTATCTTTCTATATTTCTATATCTGTATACGCCTTCCGCTATCTTTTAAAATAGTATCCTCTGCCCCAAGGTTGCCTGGAAGAGATCGCTGTTTTAGCGATAAGGCCGCCTGTTGTACCAATGTCCCTTTAAATATATCAATACTGTAATATGTTCCTTGGTGTACAATAAAGTATATTTTATTTTTACTTTACTTTTACTTTATCTACAGTAGAACCAGAGAGACCGATATAGCCCAACGGATTAGTAAGGTGAAATGGTAATAGTCCGACCATATAGCTCGAAGAACCGACAACCGATGGGAAAAAAAGGTTCTCGAGTGGCTGTCTCGTACCGGCGGACGAAGTGTAGGCCGTTCCCCCACTAGATGGATTGACGACCTGTTAAGACCTGCAGGAAGTTGATGGATGCAGGTGGCTCAGGATCGTGCTTTGTGGCATTGCTTGATGAAGGCTTATGTTCAGCAGTGGACTTGTGAAGGGCTGTAATGATGATGATGATGATGATTAAATTATTTCATTATAATAACTATGCCATGTGGACCCCGTTTCTTGCCGTGGGTGTCGTATCTTTATCTTCTTTCTTTATAGCTTTTTAGCTTTTTAGATGTCTTTCTTTCTTTTGTTCTTTATTTCTGTCTTTATTGCTTTCTTTTTATCTTTCTCTCCCATTGTTGTTGATTCTTAGAGCTACACGACCAGCCCATGCCACTTCAGTTTACTAATTAATGAACAATATTTTCGCAGAACGTTCGTGGTATTTTCATCATTAGCGTGTGGCCGCGGTAACGCTGGTCAGACGAACTACGGCTTTTCCAACTCAGTAATGGAGAAAATCTGTGAGAAGAGGAGGCAAGATGGCTTACACGCGCTGGCTGTACAATGGGGAGCTATAGGAGATGTAAGTTTTTTTCGGGTGCTAAAGGGTGCTAAACGAGCACACATTTAAAGGGTGCTAAACGAGCACACATTCTACCTGATGGTAAATGGATGCTGTGGCCTATAGACATTTACTCGTATATCTATTCTCGATTAAGAATCAAAATGTAGATGCGTTGTCACTCCCTGAGGACGAAATGGAACAGCTTGTATCCAGTAAAAAGGATCTCCGATGCAAAAAATATCTCTACCACTTAACATAAATTTAATAAATATGGCGATAGCTGCTACATGCGTCATACTGGTGAGAACTTGTGGGGGCTGATCTGCTAGGGTTCGCCATAAATCGCTCCAAATTTTTAATCGCCCTTTTTTGAGTGCATCATGGAACATGCTTCAGTTACAGTTTGGTTTGTTATCGTTTTTTCTTCTGTTTATACTATGGTATAGATAATAACTTACAGAAAGTTAAGTTATGAAAATTACGTTTTTTTTTTAAAGTACCACGTTTTATTCATAATCTTACACTGTAATCCAATTTAGAGCTATGTTCAAAATTTATGTCTTTTACTCATTGGTTAGTTAGTTTAAAATCAATTACTACTCGTAAATTTGTCCCAAACAGACACGAAATCGAGCTAATAAAAACGTGGTAAAATGACGATAAAGAGAACATCTGCAGAGTTTCTTTCGTAATTTCTTCGGTCAAAGGAACCTTATTACAAAAGGGTAGGAAAAATAATATACATTTGATAAATTTTAAATTCTTACATCGAAGAGATTGAAGACATAATAAAATGAAAGAAGTTTCCATTTTCAAAACTTACATTAACCATAAACATAGAAGATAGAAGAAAAGTTCACGGTCTCACAGAATACCAGCGTAAAATAACATTAATATTACTGTGTTTCATTTATGTAGGGAACTGGACATCCTTTTTACTGGAAACGAGGCATTCCGTCTCATCGTCGTCGTCATCTGCAGTTTGATTCTTAATCGAGGATAAATGTATATGTCTATGGTTCACAGCATACTCGTACCAACAAGTCGCCTGTGTGCATTTGTCATCTTTATAATTTAAAAAGAGTGAATTTTCTAAGACGGTGTTGTACTGAAAGGATATGACTTAATCTGTCTATATAAAACCACTGGAGTACTTTTAATCATCTTAAATTAGGTGTAGAGTTAATTAAATTTACTTTTTTAATGTGATGTATAGTGGCGATGTAAGAGAATCTATCAATTGTTTTGGTCCAAGGGATTTTCGGCGGGAAATTGACCGTCGGCGGATTACAGTTCTTGTATTATTATTATTTAAATAATGGTTTGAAGTGGATTTTGATATGTAGAAGTGGTGCGATTTTGTGGATTAAAAGTCTGTGTATGTGAACTATTAGTGGAAACGGTAATACATGTGCACGATGGCGATGTGAATCTCAAAATAAGGTGTCTGTCTGCTTAGGTGCCTTGAGATACTGTCGCCAACGGTCTGCTTGCTCAAGTTGCTGTCAAAATCTTCCAAATACTATGCAATGTGACGCACCAATATATTCTAAAGCAGTGTATTATAAAGGATTATTTACACTTAAGACTGAAATGAAGACATGGCTTAAAGGACAAGCATCCAAGGCAACATCTTAATAAAAAAATTGTCCAGTGACTGTAGTTAGAACAGACTATGGGAAATACTAGATAAATCATAGAGTCTTTCATAAAAGGTAGTATAATTGTCTCGTATACGCCAGACGTAAATTTCAGAGCGGCGGCGGGTAGTAACGTAAGTTACTACAAATCTGGTTCTGCGAGCGACAATCCACATGCCAAGCGTAATCATTAAGGAAAATCTTACATAAAAATCTACATGGCTATAATCTGATGTTTGACAATGAACTTTTACAGGCTGACAAAGGAGAGGAAGAGAAAGAGAAAAATCTATAAAACTAATTTTAACAAGTAGAATTAAAACTATTTTTACTAATTTTATCGCGTTTAATTTTACTTATTTTTAATTCCCCACACAGCTAAATGCAATAAAATCTGTAAAATTATTTTAATTAAAAAAACATATGATATTATGTTGGTTATTACCATAGCGTACTTAGGATCTGTGGTTTTATTTTATGACTTTATAATCCGTGCTTTCAGATCAACCAAGAAAGACGGTGTGCTACTTAAATATTTAGTGACGCCGAAACGATACTAAAACCGCTCAATTTTGCAATAAGAACATGCACTCACAAACACATATGCATTTAAAATAATTTGCAACCAACAACATAGTTTTAGGTGTATATGTGTATGTCCAACAGTGAACTTTTATTATTACTGTTAGTGTAAGAAAAATGTAGATGTATGTGTGAATGCGTATCAAGAAGCTGAGGATGGTTTCGATATCACTAGAAATGTACCCAGCGCTCCGTCTATTATTTGTTGGTCTGTGGTACCATCACCAATTTTTATTTTTACTTGTTTTCTTCTAGGTGGGTTTGGTAGCAGATATGCAAGATGCCAACCTTTTGTACGAAATAGGCGGTACGTTACTGCAACCAATCAAATCGTGCCTGCAGACACTGGACAAGTTCTTGAAGCAAGACGATGCAATAGTTTCATCATATGTCGTTGCGGAAAAAAAAGTTGGGGGCACTGATAATAAGACAGTAGTAGACGCTGTTGCTCAAATAATGGGTATGTTTAGTTGTGTGTGAAATTTTAAAAACGTTTTTGCTGTCCAAATTAAAATGTAAAATGTGTAACAGTTTAATGGCAGTTAAAGAAGAATCCACAACCCCATGTCATCACGTGGTTGTTGTAAAAGTTGCCTCTACAGAAAAGAGAAACAAATCAGGAGATGGGCAGCAGCGTCTTCCTAATAACGACTAAAATAAAAACTGCGGTTGCCAGTTCGCTTTCCAAGCGTGATAAGTTTAGCAAAAATACCCACTATGAGGCAAAGAATCTATGGGGGAGGCCTATGTTCAACTTATATAATAACGTAACTTTTATAGGTTGTAATGGAATAGTGTGATTAGTATTTAAAACATTTAAAAAGCAAACAGAATAGCGTTCAATATCGGATATTGGGTTTTTCTGTCAAAAATTCTTAGTAAAAGCCTGAAGTTAAGAAGTTTTCGGTGTTTTTCACGCCCATGCCTCAGAAAGCACGTAAAACCGTTGGTCCTGTAATTGAACTTCCTCCGGTCGTGTCGGATTGCTATCCATGCGTACTGAGAGAGTGAGGGACTTGGCCGCGGGTTCCAATCCCTCACGGGATAAGTATTTGTATGTATATGTTTGTCTTTGTGAAATTTATGTTTGTAAACTGCCCCCACGATAAAGGTAAAAATTCTAGTGTGGAGGTAACGTTTTTTTTTAAGAAAAAAGAAAGTTTTCGAGAGAGGGAGACGTTTTTTCGAGTCTTTAAATGTGTTAAAGCCACACTGCAGCTATATTATGGTTGTAGCACGAATGGAAACGAATGGCCACGATTGATTCGACTGGGGAAGAACCACGCTTTCACAGAATACGAGCATAAAATAGCAGTTTAATACTTCCGCATTACGTATGGTGAGTGTAGAGAATCTGCAAGCCTTTTTCACTGGTAAAAAGGCTAAGTCCTTTGAGTAACACCGCATCTGCATTTGATACTCAATCGAAAATTGATGTAGTTGTCATTTGTCACGGCATCTATTTGCCATCAGGTGGACTGTGTGCTCGTTTTTACATTTACCTTTATAGAACGTCAGACAGAACAATGAAATCAAATCCAAACCGTGCTCAACTATTGTAAGAATACTCACACACATTCAGCTAAAAACTTTTGCCAACAGCAAATTGTTTAACGATCATAATATTTGTGCATCCAGTAGTGAACTTTTACGGGCCGTTAACAGGAACAACATGTGTGCGTTAGTACGTCTTCAGGAGATTGTCTTGGTTTGGGCGTCACTTGAAATGTACGAGAGATTTGTCTAACTTTTTTTGTTAGTCTGAGTATAAACATTAATTTTTAAATATCTGATTGTTTATTGAATTAAATTTATTTTATTTTAATTTCCGTTACCGTTACAGCCTATAGTCCACTGCTGAACATAGGCCTCCCCATAGATTGCCTTATTAGGGGAATATTTGCCATAGTTGCCACGCTTGGCGAACAGGTAGGTAACAGCAGTTTTTTATTTTTAGTCGTTATTAGGAAGACGGTGCTGCCCATCTCCTGATTTGTTTTCCTCCGTCGCCTCTTACGACACCCACGTGATGATATGGGGTAGTGGATATTGTTACACTGTTATTTTAATTAATAATTATTAAATTTTTTAACCTTTATTTTAATAGGTCTAAAGAATCTTAAGTCAGTGTCATATCAAGCATCGCTTGCTGAGTTGGGTATGGACAGCATGATTTCGATTGAAATAAAACAAACGCTGGAAAGAGAATTTGAGATCTTCCTCACCGCACAGGATATAAGAGCATTGACTTTTGCCAGGTAAAAAAAAATTCAATGTAAATATTACGGGTAATTTTAGAATGAAAAATAAACTTGATATGAGCCAGCTAAACTAAGGTTTTGTTTTATTCGTAGGTCAATGCTCGCAATTACGTTCACTTGTGATTGACTTTTTAATCTTTTGCATAAAACCATTTGTATATTATAATAATTAATTAAGTCTGCCGCTACTTTGCAATAAAAATTATAACAGATATAAAGACGTTAAAATTACTCTTTTTTAAATTAGGATTACCAACGATTGATTCACTACTACATCTTTTAAGAGAAGTTACAATAGTCTTATTTCTAAATGTACAATCACTTAAAGGTAATCACAGCATGCTATTAATTAAAATTTTAAATTTTACATAACCTAGACACCTTAATTTTTACAGTGTGATATTGTGGCGTGCGTGTGCGTGCGTGAGCTTGCGCGTGTATGCCTGTGTGTTAGATAGGTGTGAGTGTGAATGTGTATTTTACATAAGTAATTAACAATTAAGTACACGATCCGTACTTTCGCAATGTTTGAAGTACTTACATAAATTCTTATATACTTAGCTAAGATACCCGTAATAAAATAAAATGATATATCTTACCTAGTTTTTGAAGAGCATCTCCTGCCCTCCCTCAATTGCGTGCACTATACTCGTCACTAAACTAGGAAATGCACACTACCGTCGATAATACGACATACGTTTCGCTTCTAACCGAGACATCATTAGGTAGACTCGGCGTTGGCTGACCTTCCGCAGACAGCCAGAGTCCCTTTTCTACCGACTTCAAAAATGAGCCGGTACTCAATTCGACTGTATGTTCTTTTATTGTGTGATAAATTTTTACTGGGTGAACCGATTTTCATGATTCTTCTTTTATTTGAAAGCTGGTGATCCACATGTGGTCTCATATAAATTTAAGCAAGGCCTAGCCAATAGTTTTTGAGTTAATCTTAATAATTTATATTGAAGGCGGTTGTACAAAATTTTTAATTTTAAATTATATGTAGTATTATCGACGATGGTGAGTCTTGCCTCGTGCAGTATGTTGGGAGTAGTGTTGTCGAGATTAGTGGTGACGGGGATAGTGCACGCAATTAACCTATTTTTGCAACCAACTAGCAGTGCCTGCTCCGGTGTGTTCCGGTCTTCAGGGTATAGGGAGCCAATATAATTTCAAACTGTGACGTATTCCGTCTTGGTTATAATGGCTTATTTTTTTTTTGAACTTGGCTGCAGTTGTCCATGGACTGTAGTAGCCACTTACCATCAGGTACTTTAAGTGCGTATGTCACTTCAATTTCATAAACAAGTGGTAAAATTAAAAAAAATGTACAACCGACTTCAATGTAGTCAAAGTCAACTAGATACGCAATTAAAAGCATAACTCAAAAAAATATATCAGACCACATGAGATCAGTTAAAATCGAAAGATCAAAATCGGTTCACCTAGGAAAAAGTTTTGAGGTAACACACCAAAAAAGATACCTTTTTTTTGAAGTAAGTTGAAAAACCGACTTACGTCTGGTCTATGCTTAAAACTAAGTTGAGCCGGCTTATCTTAAATTAATTGTATACAGTATTATTTGTCGTAACGTAAGCATAACTTAAAATGAAAAGTAGATTAAAACTATTTTATTTGCTATTAGGCTAGAAGAAATGGCTAAAGAACAGAACACGACTCCGAATGCAGTCGAATCGTCCGTGACTTCAGCAAAACCTGACACAGGTCGTGTTTTTGTTTGGAATGGCTTCGGAGATGAAGTTACAGCTTCACAAGCTTATGTACACATGCAGACAAGAGTTAGTAGTGGAGAAGATGTAAGTGATGTTTGTATTGTTTCTCACGAATGAAAAAATTAATTAGATATAATTTTGATAACTAGGTAAAGAGCCTTTACCAGTTCTGAGCTATAAGCATTTGTGGTTTAATTGCCAAGATACGTGTGATACGTCGTGATGAAATTAATCAATTTGACTACTCTATGGCATGCAGTTGCGGCTGAGAAGGCCACGGGTTCGATTGCCGTGAATCAAAGAAAAAATAGTATTTGTCACAATGATAAAAATTGAATCAAAAAATATTCCAAAGGAAATGATAAAAAAAAATGAATATCAATTTTGTTGCAGCATTATTTATTGATTTTCTGAGTATCTCTGACGTCTCAGAAAAGTAAAGAAAGATAGACAGGATTCAGGATTCTACGTACATTTAAAGTGATACGAAACTAAGCCGAAATCATGGTCTATATATATATATATATATATAATATGTAACAAAAACCCTGTGCTTCCCGTTAAGTACGTTATCAGGATCATAGAAATAACTGTTTTTTTTAAAAACTCGAACAATTTTTTTTTTGTATGTGGTTTTATTACCTCTGCATTGTCTGGGGAGTAAGAGGATTGTCAAAGACTCCGCTTTACTTAGCTTTAGCATCGGCTAGTGTCAGTAAGAGGTAATAAAGACACATAAAATAAAAAAAAATAAAAAAAATTATGGTCGAGTTTAAAAAAAATGTTATTTCTATAGGTTTGAATACTGATCCTGATAACGTACTTAACGGAAACCACAGGGTTTTTGTTACATGTTGTATATATATAATTTATTGTAAGAGCACGCACTCGTGAACATACGTATGTTTCCTGCAGTGGCTGATAAGGAAAGAAAGAAGAAAATTGTGGCTGTGAGTGCGTTTCAAGGAGTTAAGCATGCCATCGTAAGAAATGTACGCAGCGCTCCGTTTATCTATCTTTGTTCGATTGAGATCGAGGTATACTTAATTACTTACCGTGTATTGACGGTGTAAGAATATCCACTACACCATATCATCACGTGAGTATCATAAGAGGCGACAGAAGGAATTATATCGGGAGATGGGCAGCAGCGTCTTCCTAATAACGACTAAAATAAAAAATAAATGCGGTTGCCAATTCGCTTGCGTAGCAACTATGGCGAAATCCCCCTTGTGGGGGGGGGGGGACTTTAATAGACTGCAACTGTACCGGTAATTACTTATTTAATGCAATTTTGTTTAATATCTACAGAGTCAAGAGAAGGGTCCTGCTAATATCATGTTCATGATACCTGGTATTGAAGGATGCGCGTACACATTGGAACGGTTGTGTAAAAAACTGAACACAAGAGTCTGCGTACTTCAACCTGGCCTCGGTTACAGAAATGACAGTCTGAGTGATATGGTCAACAGATTTTATGAGGTAAATATAATTTTATAATTTCAACTAGTAACCGACGTAGCCCAACGAATAAGTAAACTGAAGAGGCAATGGGCCGGTCATATAGCTCGAAAAACCGATAACCGATGTAAAAGAAGTGTCTCGAGTTGCAACTTCATACCGGTAGACAAAGTGTAGGGCGGCCCTCACTAGATCGAGTGACGACCTGATAAAATATGCAGGAAGTCGATGGATGCAGGTGGCTCAAGACCGCGCTTTGTGGCATTCCTTGGGGAAGGTCTCTGTTCAGCAGTGGACTTGTGAGGGGCTGTACTGATGATGCATCTCAACAAACTGCATATTATGCAAACACACTGTATATAAATACAGCTTGACTGATGGTAAGTAACTACTGCAACCCACGAACTGCAGCCAATTTGAAACAAAGAATGCTACCGATGTGTTGTAACCTCTCAGGATTAAGATGTTATGTTTTACAGTCTGTAAACTGGCTTTCTATAATCTTCCAGACCGGGCTACAGTAGTGCACGTACTGTCCTTGCCCAGCTCCCCTTGGTGGTAGGAATAGTAAGAGTGGTACCTACCCAGAGGGACTCCTAGCCAGAAGAGGAGATGTACCACCTAAAATCAAAAATAAAAAACATAGGCAAGGTCTGAAAATTGACGAATCTAAAACATGGTAGATCCATGCTGCAGCTATATTAGTAGTATAGTTGTAGCACGAATGGGTCGGCTCGACCGGGGAAGGCCCATGCTCTCACAGAATACCAGCGTAAAATAGCAGCTTAACACTGCTGTGTTTCTTATGGTGAGTATAGAGAACCGGAGACCCTTTTACTGGAAAAGAGGCATTCCATCTTAGTCCTCACGGGTGACAACGCATCTATATTTTGATTCGCAAACGAGGATAAATGTAGATGTCTATGGGCCACAGTAACCACTTACCATCAGGTGGACTGTGTGCACGTTTGTCACCTTGTCCTATAAATAGAAATTGACTACGAACTTCTGGAAATATTTAAAACAATTTTTAATTGAATTAGTCAACATACATAGCTTTATCATTTTATATTCCATAAGTTATTGCGATTTACGACAGGCGCAAGGTCCCTGTGGTATCATGGCTTAATTATATAGACTCATTCACTCACTCCTATGTGCAGTGACCCCGAAGTGGGTCTCGGCCTCCAACACGAGAACACACCACTTCTCCCTACCCTCTGCAAAATCTCATCTCCTCTGAACAAGAAAAAAAGTTAAGCTGCATATCCTCTCTATTTATACATCGATCCTCTCCCATCCGTTCTACATGACTGACCTGCCGGAGACGATGTTCTTTTATTTTTCCAAATCAATTATATAAATTATTATCTGTTAGTATCTGTTAAAAAAAAAACGTTATCACCACACTAGGATTTTCTCCTGTATTGTGGAGGCAGTTTACAAACCCAAATTGCACAAGGACAAACATCCAGACCCGGAGCAATTATTTGTAGGCCATACAAATACTAGTTCCGTGCGGGATTCGAACCCGCGGCCCCCAGCACACAAGCCATTGCTAAGTTACTGCGTCACGAAGCAGTATTATAATGGTGAATTTAATTTCAGACAATAAAGGACCAATTATCACGGGATGTGCCTTTTAAATTACTTGGCTATAGTTTTGGAACATTACCCCTGTTAGAATTAGTCGCAAAATTGGAAAAAGATGGTAAGTGCCAGAAAATAATTTAACAATAATTATACTTAAAATAAAATGAAAATAGATTTCAAAGTACTAAAAAGTATAAAATTATTTCCACATAATATTATACCTTCTGAAGTCGGGGATTTTAATTGTTTGATATTTTAGTACTGCATTCCAAAATTATTAAAATATGTAAAAATTACTTTTTTTTTTAAATGAAGATATTTGTAATTCATAGCTTATCCTGAGTTGACGATTCTTTTTTATTAGATAGATTACACTTTAGAGGAAGTCCCATATAAATTTGGGGAAAAGGCCCTTGTCCCATCGCCAACGACGAACAAGAAGCGAGTAGAGCTAGAAACTAGACAAGAGCTGGCGGGCAGCGAGAAGCGAGTTTGTAGTTCCGATAGTTTTATAGCTGGGCTATAAGCTATACTCAGATCCGCACTCTAAAGTAGAATGACCGATGTTTGTTCTCTTGGCGTGAGGACTGATCGCCAAACGTGCTTCGCTGAGCGACCTTTATCTTTCATAGCTCTTGTCGCTGCGACAAACTAGTGTAGAGAGAGTTCTCGTTGGCACGGAAGTGTGAACAGCCAGCGATCAATTTTATTGCCGGAGAGAATATCTATATTTTTTTTTTTTTTATAGGAGAGGGGGCAAACGAGCGTGCGGCTCACCTGATGGTAAGTGACTACCGCCGCCCATGAACAACCGCAACACCAGGGGAATTGCAGATGCGTTGCCGGCCTTTTAAAAAGGAGTAGGCTCTTTTCTTGAAGGTCCCTAAGTCGTATCGGTCCGGAAAAATCGCTGATGGTAATCGATTCCACAAGGAAGTCGTGCGAGGAAGAAAACATCTTCTAAATCGCACAGTGGTGGACCGCCAATCATCCAGATGGTGTGGATGGTATCGGGAGTTCTGCCGCGATGTGCGTTCATGAAATTTGGCGGCTGGGATTAATCCGAACAATTCCTCAGAGCACTCCCCATGGTAGATGCGAAAGAAAATGCAAAGAGATGCAACATCTCTTCGCAGTGCCAATGAATCGAGCCGATCGGAAAGGGCTCGGTCGTCGACGATTCGAGCCGCTCTGCGCTGGATGCGGTCAAGTGGAAGGAGCTGGCACTGGGGAGCCCCTGCCCAGAGATGGGAACAGTATTCCATGTGAGGCCGAACCTGCGCCTTGTAAAGTTGCAGGCGGTGTGCCGGCATGAAATACTGTCCCGCTCTGCTGAGCACGCCAAGCTTTTTAGAGGCCAATTTGGCCTTCTCTTCCAAGTGACCACGAAACTGCACGTCACTCGATATGTCGACTCCGAGGATACCGATACTGGCTGAGGCAAGAAGGGGAGTGCCTTGAAACTGAGGAGATACGACAAAGGGGTTCTTTTTAGCGGTAAACGCGCAAACTTGTGTCTTCTGAGGATTAAACTGGACTAGATTTAGTCGCCCCCAATCCGAGACTTTGTCTTTGTCAAACTTGTGTCTGAAGTCGAGACTTTGTGAGCAAAGACTCGACTTCAGACACAAGTTTGTTCCGGTACTCGGCGACGTTTTCCCGAGAAATATTGGCCCGGCCGGTGTATAGAGCATCACCAGTGCTGTCATCCGCATAGCAATGAATGTTACCAGTTAGCAACATATCATTGATATGCAGAAGAAACAGCGTTGGTGATAGCACACAGCCTTGTGGAACACCAGCGTTAATAGGCTTGTAGTCAGAACATGCACCGTCTACAACGACCTTGATGCTCCGATCTGCAAGGAAGCTGGTGATCCAATTGCACAATTTCTCGGGAAGCCCATAGGAAGGGAGCTTCGAAAGAAGCGCTTTGTGCCAAACCCGATCGAAGGCCTTCGCAATGTCCAGACTAACGGCCAACGCCTCCCCCTTGGACTCTACTGCCTCCGCCCATCTATGGGTCAGGTAGACTAGAAGATCACCAGCTGATCGACCCCGACGAAAACCGTATTGGCGGTCACTGATCAGCTGGTGATCCTCAAGGTACCGGATGAGCTGGCAGTTAATAATGGATTCCATTATTTTGGAGAACAAGGAGGTGATCGCGATAGGCCTATAGTTGGACGGGTCTGAGCGGTCGCCTTTTTTAGGGATCGGGTGGACAAAAGCTGTCTTCCATGAGTTCGGGACAACGCCATGGGAGTAGGAGTACCGGAAAAGACGCGTTAGAACCGGTGCCAACTCCGGAGCACACGTCCTCAGCACAATTGGGGGGATTCCGTCAGGCCCACTCGACTTGTGGATGTCAAGGGAGAGGAGTGCTCTGCGAACCGAGCGCTGTGAGAATAGCACATCCGGCATAGAGCACTCACACCGCGGGATGGTCGGCGGTGTGTTCCCCCCGTCATCAACAGTCGAGTTGGACGCAAAAAGGGAGCCTAAAAGGTCGGCCTTCTCTTTTGCGTCGTGGGCCAGTGAGTCGTCCTCCCTGTGCAGAGATGGTAGTGATGGCTTACAGAAATTCCCTTGGACAGCCTTGGCGAGAGACCAGAATGCACGGGTTCCCGAAGGAAGGCGAACTAGTTTCTCGCCAATTCTGCCTATGTGCTCAGACTTTGCCTTGGCAATAACTCTTTTGAAGGACCTGGAGGCGAAGTTATACTTCTTTTTAAGTGTGCTGGTGTTTACATCCCGAGTCACCGAAGCCGCAGCCCAGGCTTGATAACACTCCTGCTTTCTGCGCAATGCAGTCTTACAGGAGCGACCAAACCAAGGCTGAGATCTGCCTCCAATGGGTACCACAGATGATGGAATAAATAGTTCCATTCCCTGTAGCACCACATCAGTGACAGAGTCAGCAACAGCGCTGGGATCATCCGGCGAGAAGCAAACACGCCCCCATGGGTAGGATGCAAAGAAAGACCGCATTCCGTCCCAATCCGCCGACCTGTAATGCCAAACACGGCGGCAACCTGCAGAACGCAACCGCGAAGGGAGCGTGAGTGGCACCATACTCCGGATCAGACAATGGTCCGAAGAGCCGAGAGGGGCATCGACGGAAACCTGATATCCGTCCGGATGAGAGGTCAGCAGAAGGTCCAACAGGGAAGGTGTATGATCTGCCACATCTGGAATCCGTGTAGGCGAAGTAACCAGTTGTGTCAGACCATATGCCAAAGCAAAGTCATAAACAGATCTCCCCGCATGATCGGTTAAACGTGAACCGAGCCATTCGGCATGGTGGGCGTTAAAATCGCCAAGGATCACGATCTCTGCGGATGGGACCTGTTGTAGCAAGGAATCTGTAGCCATTTGGACGTGGTCGATGAGTCGGTCTGATTCGGCATTACCGCTATGGGACCTATAGAGGCACCCGTAGACGCGCGGATGGTCGTCGCTGTCTACGCGTAGCCAAAGGAGGGACAGGTCCGAACCTTCAAGACTGCCGAGGCGTCGAGAACAGATGTCCTCTCTGACATACACGCAAATTCCAGCCCGAGGCACAAAGGAGTGCTCCAATTTGTACCCCGGGCAGGAGAGATACGAAATATCAGCCGGAGAGGAAACCTGCGTCTCAGTCAGAAAGAGCAAGGCCGGCTTCGCCGTCTCGAGATGGTAGTGGACGGCGTTTAGGTTAGAGTGAAGTCCCCTGATGTTGCAGAAATTCACGGATAGCGTGGCAGGGGTCGCCTTGGTATTGTTGCTCAGTTTGCCCCAAGCAGTTTTGTTTTTGAGCGGAATTTTGCCCCCCCCCAGAATACGCGGGGCAGCCTGAGCACCCACGCTCAGGATTGGAATAACATGGTCGTGGATGCTCAGCGAGGGATTCTCCAGGGGTACTGGTACCCTCCTGGGGTAGTCTACTTTGTAATTCCGCTACCATGTTGATGGGGGGGGGGGGGGGGATTGGACCTCCGGCCACCTGCACTCACCAGACGAAACGCAGAAGCAGAGCCTCTACTTCACGCTGGTATTCTGTGAGGTCGTGGTACCAACCCGGCTCGAGCCTGCACATACGTGCAACAGCAAAGAAACTGCTGCGGGGCTCTACCAGCGTTGGTGATAGCACACAGCCTTGTGGAACACCAGCGTTAATAGGCTTGTAGTCAGAACATGCACCGTCTACAACGACCTTGATGCTCCGATCTGCAAGGAAGCTGGTGATCCAATTGCACAATTTCTCGGGAAGCCCATAGGAAGGGAGCTTCGAAAGAAGCGCTTTGTGCCAAACCCGATCGAAGGCCTTCGCAATGTCCAGACTAACGGCCAACGCCTCCCCCTTGGACTCTACTGCCTCCGCCCATCTATGGGTCAGGTAGACTAGAAGATCACCAGCTGATCGACCCCGACGAAAACCGTATTGGCGGTCACTGATCAGCTGGTGATCCTCAAGGTACCGGATGAGCTGGCAGTTAATAATGGATTCCATTATTTTGGAGAACAAGGAGGTGATCGCGATAGGCCTATAGTTGGACGGGTCTGAGCGGTCGCCTTTTTTAGGGATCGGGTGGACAAAAGCTGTCTTCCATGAGTTCGGGACAACGCCATGGGAGTAGGAGTACCGGAAAAGACGCGTTAGAACCGGTGCCAACTCCGGAGCACACGTCCTCAGCACAATTGGGGGGATTCCGTCAGGCCCACTCGACTTGTGGATGTCAAGGGAGAGGAGTGCTCTGCGAACCGAGCGCTGTGAGAATAGCACATCCGGCATAGAGCACTTACACCGCGGGATGGTCGGCGGTGTGTTCCCCCCGTCATCAACAGTCGAGTTGGACGCAAAAAGGGAGCCTAAAAGGTCGGCCTTCTCTTTTGCGTCGTGGGCCAGTGAGTCGTCCTCCCTGTGCAGAGATGGTAGTGATGGCTTACAGAAATTCCCTTGGACAGCCTTGGCGAGAGACCAGAATGCACGGGTTCCCGAAGGAAGGCGAACTAGTTTCTCGCCAATTCTGCCTATGTGCTCAGACTTTGCCTTGGCAATAACTCTTTTGAAGGACCTGGAGGCGAAGTTATACTTCTTTTTAAGTGTGCTGGTGTTTACATCCCGAGTCACCGAAGCCGCAGCCCAGGCTTGATAACACTCCTGCTTTCTGCGCAATGCAGTCTTACAGGAGCGACCAAACCAAGGCTGAGATCTGCCTCCAATGGGTACCACAGATGATGGAATAAATAGTTCCATTCCCTGTAGCACCACATCAGTGACAGAGTCAGCAACAGCGCTGGGATCATCCGGCGAGAAGCAAACACGCCCCCATGGGTAGGATGCAAAGAAAGACCGCATTCCGTCCCAATCCGCCGACCTGTAATGCCAAACACGGCGGCAACCTGCAGAACGCAACCGCGAAGGGAGCGTGAGTGGCACCATACTCCGGATCAGACAATGGTCCGAAGAGCCGAGAGGGGCATCGACGGAAACCTGATATCCGTCCGGATGAGAGGTCAGCAGAAGGTCCAACAGGGAAGGTGTATGATCTGCCACATCTGGAATCCGTGTAGGCGAAGTAACCAGTTGTGTCAGACCATATGCCAAAGCAAAGTCATAAACAGATCTCCCCGCATGATCGGTTAAACGTGAACCGAGCCATTCGGCATGGTGGGCGTTAAAATCGCCAAGGATCACGATCTCTGCGGATGGGACCTGTTGTAGCAAGGAATCTGTAGCCATTTGGACGTGGTCGATGAGTCGGTCTGATTCGGCATTACCGCTATGGGACCTATAGAGGCACCCGTAGACGCGCGGATGGTCGTCGCTGTCTACGCGTAGCCAAAGGAGGGACAGGTCCGAACCTTCAAGACTGCCGAGGCGTCGAGAACAGATGTCCTCTCTGACATACACGCAAATTCCAGCCCGAGGCACAAAGGAGTGCTCCAATTTGTACCCCGGGCAGGAGAGATACGAAATATCAGCCGGAGAGGAAACCTGCGTCTCAGTCAGAAAGAGCAAGGCCGGCTTCGCCGTCTCGAGATGGTAGTGGACGGCGTTTAGGTTAGAGTGAAGTCCCCTGATGTTGCAGAAATTCACGGATAGCGTGGCAGGGGTCGCCTTGGTATTGTTGCTCAGTTTGCCCCAAGCAGTTTTGTTTTTGAGCGGAATTTTGCCCCCCCCCAGAATACGCGGGGCAGCCTGAGCACCCACGCTCAGGATTGGAATAACATGGTCGTGGATGCTCAGCGAGGGATTCTCCAGGGGTACTGGTACCCTCCTGGGGTAGTCTACTTTGTAATTCCGCTACCATGTTGATGGGGGGGGGGGGAATTGGACCTCCGGCCACCTGCACTCACCAGACGAAACGCAGAAGCAGAGCCTCTACTTCACGCTGGTATTCTGTGAGGTCGTGGTACCAACCCGGCTCGAGCCTGCACATACGTGCAACAGCAAAGAAACTGCTGCGGGGCTCTACCAGCGTTGGTGATAGCACACAGCCTTGTGGAACACCAGCGTTAATAGGCTTGTAGTCAGAACATGCACCGTCTACAACGACCTTGATGCTCCGATCTGCAAGGAAGCTGGTGATCCAATTGCACAATTTCTCGGGAAGCCCATAGGAAGGGAGCTTCGAAAGAAGCGCTTTGTGCCAAACCCGATCGAAGGCCTTCGCAATGTCCAGACTAACGGCCAACGCCTCCCCCTTGGACTCTACTGCCTCCGCCCATCTATGGGTCAGGTAGACTAGAAGATCACCAGCTGATCGACCCCGACGAAAACCGTATTGGCGGTCACTGATCAGCTGGTGATCCTCAAGGTACCGGATGAGCTGGCAGTTAATAATGGATTCCATTATTTTGGAGAACAAGGAGGTGATCGCGATAGGCCTATAGTTGGACGGGTCTGAGCGGTCGCCTTTTTTAGGGATCGGGTGGACAAAAGCTGTCTTCCATGAGTTCGGGACAACGCCATGGGAGTAGGAGTACCGGAAAAGACGCGTTAGAACCGGTGCCAACTCCGGAGCACACGTCCTCAGCACAATTGGGGGGATTCCGTCAGGCCCACTCGACTTGTGGATGTCAAGGGAGAGGAGTGCTCTGCAAACCGAGCGCTGTGAGAATAGCACATCCGGCATAGAGCACTCACACCGCGGGATGGTCGGCGGTGTGTTCCCCCCGTCATCAACAGTCGAGTTGGACGCAAAAAGGGAGCCTAAAAGGTCGGCCTTCTCTTTTGCGTCGTGGGCCAGTGAGTCGTCCTCCCTGTGCAGAGATGGTAGTGATGGCTTACAGAAATTCCCTTGGACAGCCTTGGCGAGAGACCAGAATGCACGGGTTCCCGAAGGAAGGCGAACTAGTTTCTCGCCAATTCTGCCTATGTGCTCAGACTTTGCCTTGGCAATAACTCTTTTGAAGGACCTGGAGGCGAAGTTATACTTCTTTTTAAGTGTGCTGGTGTTTACATCCCGAGTCACCGAAGCCGCAGCCCAGGCTTGATAACACTCCTGCTTTCTGCGCAATGCAGTCTTACAGGAGCGACCAAACCAAGGCTGAGATCTGCCTCCAATGGGTACCACAGATGATGGAATAAATAGTTCCATTCCCTGTAGCACCACATCAGTGACAGAGTCAGCAACAGCGCTGGGATCATCCGGCGAGAAGCAAACACGCCCCCATGGGTAGGATGCAAAGAAAGACCGCATTCCGTCCCAATCCGCCGACCTGTAATGCCAAACACGGCGGCAACCTGCAGAACGCAACCGCGAAGGGAGCGTGAGTGGCACCATACTCCGGATCAGACAATGGTCCGAAGAGCCGAGAGGGGCATCGACGGAAACCTGATATCCGTCCGGATGAGAGGTCAGCAGAAGGTCCAACAGGGACCTTCTGCTGACCTTATTGTTCATTTCATGAGCGAGAAAATAGTCCATAGCTAATCGCTTCCTCGTCAGCGGTGGGATGTGTGCCTTAGGGTAGAAAAAATAAAAATATATTAATCAGGTTTTAATGCAACTGTTTGTACAAAATTTGTTATCTTGTGATTATGATCTCTTATACTAAACAAATGGGGGATTTCGTAACATTTAGAAAATGAAGTTTTCTCCTTGGGGTGTAGCATATTTGATAAATAGAGGAGCATCAAAATCGGACAAAAATGCAGACGAGTAAGAACCTCCTTATTTTACAAGTCATATAATCAGAATTAACAAATTCATATTACCTTTCAGGTTACAAAGGAAACGTGTATTGTTTAGATGGTTCACCGGAATTCGCTAAAGCTATGCTAGACGAAGAAATGCCTCACTCCAACGAAACAGAATTACACAATAATATAATATCCTTCATATATAGCGCTGTCAGTAATCCCGATTCTAATGACACCAGTTTGTTATTAGAGAAACTGCGGAATATACCTTCTTTAGAAGAGAAAGTCAATTACGTAATAGATACATCAAAACAGACAATTAACTATTCTAAAAACTTCTTGAAATCCTTCGCTATTTCTTACTATGACCGAGTGCTTATGATTAAAAACTTTAATATTGGCAATATATCTAAAATAAAATCACCTATATTCCTGTTACGAGCTAAAGATGGTCCATTTGCTAATCTGTGTAAAGATAATTATGGTTTAAGTAAGTTTACAGACAGTACTGTTGAAGTGTACAGCTTCAAAGGTAATCATATAACTATTCTTGAAGATGATGAATGTGCTTCATTTATAAACAAAAATATTTAAATTTAATCTTTAAATTATAAATTTTATTATACATTAAATGGAAGTAATATGAATTAAACATCTATTTAATTATACTGTAGTTTTTTTTAATTTCTTCTCAAAGATATTTTTTATTTAATTTGAAGTTAAACGAAATTGCAGGCGGCCTGATTATAAAAAGGTATTGCAATTCATAGACACCTGCAACCAACGTCAAAGAAATGAAGTTACAGAATGCATTGTCGTCTCTTAGGACTAAGGTACAATACCTGACAGCCTATAACTATACTGGCTTTCCAAATACTTCAAAAGGAAACACATCACTGCAGGCGGTATTGCTTGGCATCAGATTAAGAGGGTAGTAACTACTGAGCTGGGCCTACTAATTTAAAATTGTTTAATATTTTGATCGCAATTTCGAATAAAATTCAACGTTCAGAAAGGTTTTTTTTTATAAAATCTTACCTCAACAATAGGATTTTGTCCTGTATTATGAAGACAGTTTACTTAGGTACATAAATTGCACAAAGACAAACATCCACACCCGGAACAATTATTTATGGGCCTAGGATTTGAACCCGCGGTTCTCAACGCTGGCAGCAGAAATATCTTGCTGCCTCTCTCCTGTATTTCTAATTTTTCTTGTCATACGACGTACGAACTTTACGAAACCCTCATGATATTTAAAGCGAATATATTTAATACAATAACCACGGGTATTAAACATTTCGTTTGTCACCGTCTACTGTTATAAATAGAATAAAATATTTTTTAATTTTCAAATATGGGTAGAGATCGTTTAAATAAAAACTGTACGCGTCTTATTTGCATTTTATTTTGTAGTTTTTTATCTTTTCCACCGACTTCAAAAAGGAGGACGTACTCAATTCGACTGTATGATTTTTATGTGTGTTACCTCACTACTTTTTTTTGGGCGAACCGATTTCTATGATTCTTGTTTTATTTGAAAACTGGTGATTCTAATGTAGTTTTTTATAAATTTGATGAAGGTCTGGCTAATAGTTTTTGATTTATTCTTAATCATTTATATTGAAATCGGTTGTACAAAATTTTTAATGGGTCTGGCCACCCAATTTTGGTAAGGGTATCAAAAAATTGTATAAAAATTTACTAATTCAATGGTATTCCTATTTTTTTTCTACCTTTAAAAATGACTGAAATATTGATGAGTAAAATGGTGTTTTACGGTAAGGGCGACCGCTTTGCTCCGCATCGCGATGTGACGTCACAAAACGACAGGTCGAAGCCACCAGTAGTATTTATTGTTATATTTTTCTTATTCTCTCCATATTTTTCTTGTCATGTTATTTATTTAGCAGTAACCCTTATTTTCTGTTTTTTTTTTTAATTTCTGTAATATCACGCTCATTTTGAATAAAATGGTGACCTAAGATACCGGTTTTACCTAGTTTAGGCTCCAGTTTTTCACCTAACAATAGTATTGTATCAGATGTGTGTACATATTTTTTGTTTTCTGAATGTATATTGTTGGTGAAAATAAATAAATAAATAAAATAAAATAAAATTTCATTAAATTTTACTGGAAAAAAATCATATAGAATCTAAATGTTCAATACTTTAGTTTATACATCAAATCAAATAGTTTATTTGTGATTCACAGTTTACATAAAGGTCTTATTTAAACACAAATAAAGTTCAGTCTGTGATCAGCCTCATGGGCATCATCGTCATCATCATTACAGCCCTTCATAAGTCCACTGCTGAACATAGCCCCCCCCCCCCCCAAGGAATGCCACAAAGTACGGTCCTGAGCCACCTGCATCCATCGACTTCCTGCATATCTTGCCAGGTCGTCACTCCATCTAGTGGGGGGTCGCCCTACACTTCGCCTACCGGTACGGGACTGCCACTCGAGAACCTTTCTTCCCCATCGGTTGTCGGTTCTTCGAGCCGTATGGCCGGCCCACTGCCATTTCAGCTTACTAATCCGTTGGGCTATGTCGGTTACTCTGGTTCTACTGCGGATATCCTTATTTCTAAGTTTATCACGCAGAGAAATTCCCAAGCATAGCCCTCTCCATAATTCGCTGACCGACCTTGAGTTTCCTCATACGGCCAGCAGTGAAGGACCACGTCTCAGATCCGTAAGTCATCACTGGCAACACGCACTGGTTGTACAATTTCGTTTTCAGGTTTTGAGGTATGTCTAACGAGAAGATGTGTCGTAGTTTCCCGAACGTTGCCCAGCCGAGTTGAATCCTCATCGGCATACAAATGTCAAATATTAGTTCATTGATTACACTATTCACAATAATAGATTAGATTATTAGATTAAATTATTCATCATAAATAATATTGATTACATTGGATTAGATTAGATTATTTATAAATTATTAGTTCAAAATTATTAAATAGTTGTTGGGTTTATTATACTCGTAAGTATTATGTCATCTAATACAGTCAACCGGACATTAACTCTGACATTCGATATAATATGTAGGTAAACGACCGTATACTTCCGAGCGCGTGGTTAGTACTAAACTTAGCAAGTTCTTACTGCACGTTCGCTCTCTCGGATTGTTACGTCACGTCACTGAGAACGAGCGGGTAATAATTAAAAAATATTGCGAAATTTCAAAACGTTATAACTTTCGTATTTCTGCACCAATTTGGATGAAACAAAAACTATTGTTTTTTTCATAAACATGGCTTTAAAGCTATAGGTTTTATTGTCAAATTAGAACATGTTGGTGTGACCCATTTTAAATTATTTTCAAGCAAATCTATTGAAATACAAAAAAAAAGGTTGCCAGATCCAGATTTCATGATACTGAATTCGATAAATTGACCAAATCTACCAAAAATACAAGTGTTAGTGTGTGACCCATAGATATCTATATCTGTTCTCGATTATCCCAATGGATGTCCCGTGTACTACATATATTGCTAGTTTTACTATAGTGTTTGAAAATTGGACAGTGAGGATTAAGAATAAAAATGCAGATGCGATGTCACGACGATGATGAGGACCAAGATGGAATGCCTTCTTTCTAGAAAATACTTCGATTTTTTACACTCACGATTATATCCACACTCGGTTACTACTGGCGATTTTTCTGGACTGATAAGACTTAGGTTAGGTTAAAAATAAGAAGAATAAAAATAAAAGACGGCTCCGTGGCGCAGTGGCTTAACAATGAGTTCTTGCGCTGGGGGTTCGAATCCCGCACGGAAGAAGTATTTATATGGCCTACAAATAAATGTTCCGTGTCTGGATGTTTGTCCTCGTGCAATTTATGTTTGTAAACTGCCTCCACGATACAGTAGAAAATCCTAGTGTATACGTTGTATAAAAAATAAAAATAAAATAAAAATCGCAGGTGGTTGTCGATTCTACAAGAAAGTTAAGCGAGGAAGAAAACTTTTTATAAACTAAATCGCACAGTGGTAGACCGTTAATTGTACAGATCATCTGGATGGTATAGCGTTTAGTCACGATGGGCGATGGTAAAATTGAGTGCCTAAAATTATTCAGAACAATTCCTCTGAGCACTCCCTGTGGTAGATACGATAGAATATGAAAAGAGATGCAATATTTCTTCGCAACGCCAGTGAGTCAAGCCCATCAGAAAAACTCGGTCGTCGAAGATTCGAACCACTCTGCGCTGGATGCGATCTCCATTGTGAGAAGCTGGCGCTGGGGTGCCCCGGCCCAGAGATGAAAACAGTATTCCATGTGAGGCTAAACTTACGCCTTGTAAAAAGGGGTGTCATCATCATCATCATTACAGCCCTTCACATGTCCACGGCTGAACATAGGCCTCCCCCAAGGAATGCCGCAAAGCACGGTCCTGAGCCATCTGCATCCATTGACTTTCTGCATGTCTTACCAGGTCGTCACTCCTTCTAGTGGGGGCTTGCTCTACACTTCGTCTACCGGTACGAGGCTGCCACTTGATAACATTTTCCCCATCCGTTGTCGGTTCCTCAAGCTATATGGCCGGCTCATTGCCACTTCAGCTTACTAATCCGTTGTTTCAAAGAAAATTTAAGTTATGTTTTTAGATTTTATAATTTGCTTTTTATCCAATTTAAAAATTATTCAAAGATTTTTTCAGCAAATTGTGTCCTTACATAATAATTATGTGTGTGAGTAGAATAAAATAAATTATAATTAATTAATTAATTTTTTTAAATCTCTGAAATATCCCATAGTTCTTTGAGGTTACGCGTGATTGCTGCCGCTACAAATGACCTCGCGCCCGCTTGAAGGTTCATAACCATTACTACCACGCAAAAACCTATAAATTTTTAGCGCGCTATTAAACACCTATGCTATGTTATAGCGCACTATTCATAAGAAAGCGTGTGGGAGGCCGGCAAGCGCGTAAAGTTTTGCAGCACGCTATATCTCGTAGCACGTTACATTACATGTCGTTCGTTGGATAGAGCGCGTGCTATATAAGAATAATATTTCGTATTAAGCCGCATTTTTTATAGGATAGGGTGACAAACGAGCATACAGTCCACCTGATGGTGAGTGGTTGCTGTGGTCCATAGACATCTACATTTATCCTCGTTTGCGAATCAAAATGCAGATGCGTTGTCACCCGTGAGGACTAAGATGGAATGCCTCTTTTCCAGTAAAAAGGGTCTCCGGTTCTCTGCACACACCATACGAAACACAGCAGTGTTAAGCTGCAATTTCACGCTGGTATTCTGTGAGAGCGTGATCCCTCCCTGTAGAGGCGACCCATTTGTTCTACAACTATACTACTAATATAGCTGCAGCATGGCCCTACCACGTATTAAAGATTAAAATTAAATAAAGCATTAAAGTAATGGTAAGACATGCAGGAAGTCGATGGATGCAGGTGGCTCAGGACCGTGCTTTGTGGCATTCTTTGGGGGAGGCCTATGTTCAGCAGTGGACTTGTGAAGGGCTGTAATGATGATGATGATGATTAAAGTAAAACCAATGAACACTCTCAGGCTTCAGGACTGTCTATAATTGATGTAAACTTTATTTTAACACTAAT